TTCGAAAACAGCTTTGAGATGTAGGGCGATAAAAAGGTTTGTTCGTAAAAGTCGTTTAAAATTTCCGGGGACTGAAATCTTTTGTCCTTTTGGAAAAAGTTTGCTAGGAAGAAAAAAGTATGAACTATATACGTTCATTTCCTTATATATTAATATGGGTTCAAGACAAGGTAAATTTTTAATTAGCCTAAATCCTTGTTTTGTCAAGAAAATGAGGAAATAATGTAAAAGGCAATTAAGGCTGGTTTTCATATGTCATACTTCCTCGTTAGTCACATGCCTTTATTCGTTATAATTGGCTGCTGTGCGAAACCCGACATATATACAATTGTGAAAACCGCTGATTAAAACAAATGACGACATGTGAATTACGACGAATGGTGTCATATATTAAAACCAACATTTACGGTAAATGTATTCAAAGGAGGATTTATCCAACAAGCAGTAAATCATGAGTACGAAACACTTTCACTTGAAGATACCCTCAAGGTTCGAGTGGTCATGAGCCAATCATGCACCAATGCTCATTCATCTTAGAAATTCCAAAACGTAAAAGAGAGGAATATTAAAGAAATCGTTGCGTTATACACACTGGTTGAAAATTGCTGCACTGCATGCACCGTATTCTCAAATAAGAAAATAATTTTAGTGGTATTCAACTGTCGAGGATGAATTGGGCAAAGTTTTCTGTCTTTGCTTGTTTCCTAGTCTCGAATACTCTGGCTGATGCTGGAGAGATGCCTGACAAAGAGCCTCATGTAAGGATGACTGTTAATTTCAACGGGTATTTGAGGTAGCAAGTAAGGCTTGCATTGTTGTATTGCAGTTTCTTCTGAAATGGCGGATAAACATGCAACAATGAGTATTTTAAATCTTGTAATTTTCATGCTAAATAAAGAGAGGGCAATGTATTTTTAAAACATTTGACTGAGCAATTTATTTACTAGTACTTTTGCTTCTTTTAGCTTGATACAGTAAGGAAATTCTACCACCCACATTTATTTAACTAGTTTGTAAATGACAAAATGCACTAAAGTATATAATTATAAGGTATCATGCACATGTTCTTTCGCCCAAGAGCAGAGATGGATGGAGCACGGGTGATGGGTTATATTTTCAGGTGCTCACACTCTTTGTATAATACTCTGCGATCATGTAATTCATGTTTACAGTGATACCAACCCTTCCGTGACTATACTCTTCACTCCCCTATCAAATGTGAAAAGAAATGCTTGCACCATGATTATTTAACATCTGGATTGTAAGTGCAAAATTCGCTTTGTGAAAGTGTGGCACAGGATCTCGTTAACAGGATATTTTATGCTAATAGCAATTTTTGTTTATTTCCATTTGTACTTCTGCTTCTTTTATAGCTACATGCTGTCAAGAAATTCCTGCACCCATTTTACTTACCTAGGTTCTAATAAAATGCACTGTTTATTCATTGTTCGAAAGGTTGCGTTTACCACCGCCTGCCTAACAATAACGTAACGATCTATACTTAACACATGAATGTAACTTCGGTTTAAGAATTACGAAAAGGTGTACATAAAAAATTAGCCGAAAATACACTAAAGCCACATGACGTTTCCTGTACAGGTATCGTATAGGTACTTTTTAACCGATGCTAATGATACTCTCATATTTATGGATGTCAAAAATGTTTTGCACATTACACAATACAACATCTTTAAACAGGAAAACAGTATAATTATTATACTAAATTGACCAACCATGAATTCCAATGATTGTTTTAGAATAATTTTTGTCGGAAAACTTTTAAATTCTCTTTCGAGTCCCCATTCCAATGGGAATGAGATGAAAGAAATAACCATGGACTGGCTGCATGCAGACTAGTCCCTAGTCCTCCTTAGCGCGCCTTCGGTTCTTGTGTCATCAGAGAGGACTAGCACAAAATGTTTTTAATTCTTTATTCAAAATGGCGGCAGAAAATTTTCTCAAGCAATACTGATCTCAAAATATTTGCGTCAGGGACAAAATCAGGGACAATTTTTGAAATCTCAACATTTTGTGCCAGGCCTCTCAGCGTGGGTTGTCCCTGCATAATTAACAGCGCCCGCTTACATGGGCTGGGACTGGGTTGGGCTGCTTGGTAGATTAATTGTGGGAGTTGGACATCGTCCTGGTCTCTAAATTTGTTTTTCTGTTTTATTCTGCTCACTTTTTTTGTGATTTTTACAAAAAATTACAGAGTCTGTATTTTACCGAACAATTTAGAAACGTATTTTTTAAACATTGGGATACACCAGTCTTTTAGCTTCCGAATGGCATGTTTTCACAACTAAATGGACAAAAAAACGAACAAACACAAGTCTGATACAAAGTGTTAGTAAGAAACGCATATTTCCACTTCTGTGAATTTGGACTGAAACCATCGAAAACTCTCCTTTCTTCAGCTCCCTTTGGGACGTAATTCATTGATGAATTTCTCTTCTGAACATTGCAAAACAATTGCATGCAGTAGACAATTTTCCTGTTACTATGCACTGCGATAGTTAGGCTATATATAGCTAAGTGGTGAAAAATAGTTATTCTGACCAACATTTTTTTTCCAGCCTCGTATTTTCTTATTTAATTTTTACTCTATTTCGTATTGAAAATGTCATTCGATAGTTAAATGTTTGAACTTTCCAAATTTCGCTCATAGAAAGAGTATAGTTCATGAATAATAGCGTGCTGAAGTTAGATTTTAACCCTGTACAGTCCTTGCATGTATAACAATAATTTATGATTTTCAGGCCCCCGAGGAACGTAGAGGAAAAGGACCACCCGGATGTTTACCTGGTCAGCCAGGATGTAATAAACCGGGATGTTCCGAAGGACAATGCTGTGGTACTCCAGGCGTTCCTGGTGTCCCAGGTGTACCCGGCCAGACCGGGAGAGACGGACGAAACGGTCGCCCTGGTGTGCCTGGCGCAATTGGAGCGCCTGGTAAGAAAGGAAATCCTGGTGAACCCGCCATATCAAACTGGAAACAATGTACTTGGAGAGTTGGTGATGGAAAAGACAACGGGCTTATTCGTGTAAGATTTCTATTCTTTCAATATCAGATTTTTTTCAATACTTTATATCATATCGTTTTTAATTTTATTGGTAAAATAGAGAACTGTGATTGGCTGAGAACGATTACCAGCGGCCATTACTTATTCCGTAATCAGTAAGGCTTCAAAAACAACTCACATAGTATGAAACACCTTACATAGTACAATCTTACACAATCTTGGCGCTGTTACGCTATGCAATTTTCCTTGTATCTTGCAATGCAATTATAAGTTTGAGCGATGTTAACTTGTGAAAAGTGTTCGAATAGCTACGAAATCGTTAGCAGATCCTAAGAAATGCTCGTATTTGACAACTTTAGATGTCAAATAATTATATTGGAAGTTGCAGGGGCGCCGGAATATCGATAATAACGGGGGCAGATATTCACATATTCATGTTCGCAGATCCTAAAAACAATCGATTTGAAAAGAAATTAATAATGCAGATTACGAATATATGAATATCTGCCCCAGCGCTGTTTTAAATCTGATGTGAGAGGGACCTCATGAGGGAGTTTACGATCTACGACAGGGTTAGCTCGACGTCACTAGTCAAAAATTTTGCTAGAGATAAGCTCACGGAGAAGTGATTATGCTGCCAGAACTTTGAAATAATATAGAAACGTTTCGATTGTGCTAAGAAGTAAGAACCTCCGATGTCTCGCTGACATTGCAGTTCTATATACCTACTTTCTTGCGTGTGGAGTTTCTTGGTTTTCCAAGCCATCGTGAATCGTAAACTCCGCATTATTATGAGCAGATTGACCTACACACAGAATAAACTTAACCTCTACTTAAAAGTTTAAAGATAAGAGTATATAATAGTTTTAATACTCAGTTCAGCATATTTTTTACACTCAATTTATATTAATATTATCACTGTAACAATGTTGAATTTGATCACCATGTTTATTATATTTCATTTCTAGCAATGTACATTTGTAAAAAAACGAGACGACTCTTATCTTCGTGTTTTTTACGCTGGAAATCTTCGCATCTACAACTGTAATAGTTGTTGCAAGCGGTGGTTTTTCAAATTTAATGGCGCTGAATGCAATGTTCCTATTGAAGGTGTTTATTATATGTGGAAAGGATTAAACACTCAAGATCTTCACCGCCATCGTCATATTGAGGGTTATTGTGGAAAAATTCACAAAGGCCATGTTCGTGTTGCATTTTGGGTTGGCAATTGCCGCGGTTACGCAAATGCTGACGCGTATTCCGGCTGGAATTCTGTCTCGCGTATTGTGATTGAAGAAGTACCACCTCCACAAAAGTAGACATAAGGATATACTCCCACACTAGTATTTCACATTAGTAACATATGACTTTATCTGTTTCTCAAAAACAGCAAATACAACGATTTTAGTAAATAAACTATAATAACTATGAATTTTGTGGCCTATTCAATGCAGTTGTGCAAGCTATTTCAGAATTTTACTGCAGCAATGCCTGAGAAAAAAATTATTCTAATTCTTCGAACAAAAGATGGTGAAGACAGATAAGTCGAGAAAACATGAAGTTAAAAATCTCCTGCCGCTGCATGCAAGAATTTTTGCGATGATTTCATCAACTTGAACTGGCGCGAACTTGTGTTTGCATGGAAATCACGTATCAAAAAGGCAGGGGGTAAGGTTTGAGGTAGATGTTTCCCAATATTCCATCACGTGAACCTCTTACGTAAAAAGATTTCGGTCAACACTAATAGAGAGTTGCTGCAGTTGTGTTTGTATTAAGACACAGTATATCCTATAGAGCTATATAGGAACAAAGTATGCAGTCTCGGTATAGTATTTATCTATGATTTAGAACCTTACTCCTCTGCGCGCGCATGTTTCTAAGGGAATCACAGCGTGCTTTTAAAAGCAATTTTAGTAATGTGTATTATGTATATGAGTGACTCATAATACAGCTTATTTTGTGTTCTACCCTCATATGAATTTTTTGATATTTCAGTCATGATAAAATTTTCGTGTCCACACAAATAATGTGAAACATGTCATGTCACAATTCTATTCGAATGGCGTGCCTTGGTCGTCGCCATAATTATTGGTTCAATCAAGTGTCTTCCGTGACGACAGTGTACCCAAATTATAGCATGTAGCTATCGAAATTAAAATTACCAACCAACCATTTTTTTATATGTTTTTAAAATGTTTTCGTCACGAATGTTAACGAGAAGATCGGTTTTTTTTCGGAAATCTGAAGCACCAATCTGTATTGGTCGCAATCATTGTTGAGAAAATATCAACAACTTATTCTCCTCTTTCACAAATACCATAATGCTTTGCGCTTTGGGGGGTTATTTAAAAAATATTTCCTTTGTACCATTTGTTTACAATTTTACATTGTTAATAATGGGTAAAAAAGACTATTGTTGTGCTCCTGGATGTTCAAATATAACCGAACGAAAAACCCTGAACTACAATTCTACAGAATTCCGAAAGAGAAAACTAGGAGAAAGAGCTGGCTGGCTAGAATTAGGCGTGATTTTGTCCCTTCTGAAAACACACGACTGTGTTCTTCTCATTTCGCTGACGGCGTCAAGTCAGATGAAAAAACCAGTCGAAATTTTATTCCTTCGATTTTTGAATACTCTCACTTGGCACAAACAACTCCAAGGACCACGAACAACAGTGTCACCAAAGATACAGCATTGGAAGTTATTACAGAACCGAAGCTGAAGAGGCAACGAAGAATGCCGGTAAGCCTGTCTAAACTTCCTTCTGATTTATCTTTTCCTCAAAGGTTTGATTGGCATCTTTTTATTCATAGACGAATCAGATACGCTTTTTAAAAACCAGTTGTGAATTTTAATAATTCATAACCTGTTCTGTAACATTCAACGTTTGCGCACTGTGCAGCAATTGTTAAAATCCTTTATATTTTAACTTAGGTACCCACTCGAAAAGGGAGGCCTAAAGGTAATCCACAAGATGATAACTTTGGAAGGCACAATGTTTGGGGAGTATGCCTTCCTTCGAGCCATCCTCTGAAAGCACATGATTATTGTAGAACACAGGCTTATCCAGACAACCTAAACTTTGATTCAGAAACCTTAAAGCATATCAATGACTTAGAAAGTAGAGTACAGAAACTTGAAGAAGAAAAAAAATCTTCGCTCACGATGCCTCATTTTAGCCCAATTGAAGCATGATGATTCTAGCTTTCAGTTTTGGACTGGATTTCCTAATTATGGTTCTTTCAGTGCTTTGTTTCAGTACCTGGAGTGTGCTTTAGTAAACAAGAGAAACTGGAGGGGATCTGATTTGTTACGCAAGGTAAATGTAACAGAAAGAAAGAGAGGGGCCCCAAGCAAGTTATCACTTGAGGAGGAATTTTTTATGGTTCTGATTCGCCTCAGACTTGGACTCACCTTGACTGACTTGGCATCGCGTTTTATGCTCAGTGAAGGCAATATTAGCAAAATATTCACTACTTGGATCAATTTAATGTACTTTGAATTAAAAGACCTCTGCCAAATGCCAGAATCTCTGGATGAAGGAAAGGCCAAGCACTTTTCCAATTTTCCAAATGTGAAGATTATCATTGATTGTACAGAAATTTTTACAGAGAAACCATCATCATTGCAAGCATGCAAAGAAATATATTCCAATTATAAAGGGCACACAACATTCAAGTTTTTAGTTGGAATTGACACACATGCAGCAGTTGTTTATGTTTCTCGAGCTTGGGGTGGGCGCACTTCGGACAAACATATTACATCAAACTGTAATGACTTACTAGATTCAATGAAAGAGGGGGATGAGATAATGGCTGATAGAGGATTTGACATAGATGATGTCTTAAGTGTTCCAGGTGTTAAAGTTATCATCCCAGATTTTAAGGGGAAAGACCGCTCACAAATGAGGGCAGTTGAAAGTAGAAGGTCAGAAAATATAGCAGTGGCACGAATACATGTGGAGAGGGCAATACAGAGAATCAAGATTTATCGTATTCTTCGAACTTAAATACCTTTGACTATGACACACTTAGCTGAGCAAATATTTACTGTTTGTGCCTATTTAGTTAATTTCCAGTCCCCAATACTACAATAGGTTGACAGTTAAATATTGAATAGAGCATTGGAAACAAAACTTTTCAATATCAAATATTTCAGAATCATACTTTGATATATATTTCCCTAACATATTATTTGTCTGTACAATAAATTACAGTATAAGTAAACTATATGTACAATTCAACTATTTAAAGTTTTCAACAATGGATAAATAAATTATTAATGCATTTCATTAATATTACCAGTGGGTAAATAACTTATTGTAAATTGTGCTGCACATATATATGTGGTACTATCACATTACTCCATTACATTTAGAAACCCTTGGGGCAGCCCTAATAATTCAATGGTATTTGTATAATAATTATTCCTCTCTTACAACAGTGCTGAGAGATTCATATGTAATTCCAAGTTTACCAATTCTACTGTGTCCAAACTTAACCCGAGGATATGCAAGCTCCAATAAAATAATGTCATAATAAAATTTCCTAAGCCTGGGTAGTTGCTGTTCCCAAAATTTCTGGCAGTAAGCAGTGTTCAGAACAAATATAGCCTTTCCATCTGAAGCAACAAAATCAGCCCAAAGGGTGGATTGTTGTGCTGGCCTCTGGTTTCCCGTTCTATTGAATCAACTTCCTCTTGGCTTACACATATTTCACTCAAAACATTTTCTGCTTTTTCTCGAATTTCTTGCAAGCAAATTGTATTACCAAGATTATGCTTTAAGATTTCTTCAATTTCATTATTGTCAGCATTTGCATATGAGCTAGTCTGTACCTCAATATCACAACAAATAGCTAAACTTGCATCATAATTCTCACAAATATAAACGTCTGGTAGATTACACTCAGATGCAGGTTGGGCAGAATCATTTTCCACCTTTGATAACAGGTAAACTATGGGAGGCATTGGTTTACCCATATTTGCTTCTAGAATTGCCTGCCTCAAGTTAGATTTTCGTTCTTCCTTTGTTAGGGGATTTTCATCACTGTTTTTGTACAAATCCTCTGTTATTGCAAGAGATGGTCGGAATTTCTTTTCAGGTGGTTGCTCTCCCACTTTAGCTTTGTAAATATTTATATTTTCAACCATTGGTGGTTTTACTTTGGCACCTGGAAAAAGAGCAAAGATTATTCCATAATAATTCACAGGCAGCTGATAGCAAAAATTCTTAAGATGATTCTACAAAGAAAAATGTGCAGAAATATTGTATTCTATTTCAGTGCTGACATGTTAGATTATGTAGGATTATTTTACCTTTAGGTTCTGTCCATGAGCAAGGTAAGTCCGTACAAGTAGGGTCTGAAGGGATTTGCACTTTTCCTTCTGCAATAATGTCAGCCAAGACAAACAACAAAGCACCAACATGGCTGCAATTACCTCGCAAACTTTATGATGGAAAAAAAACACATTTACTACCATCACACTTACTACCATCACACCAAATTTGCAAAAATAGCTTACCCAACTGTGCAGGTACAATATGCAAATAATGGCTTGCTGGTCTCCATGTGCATGACAACATACATCGTCTTCATTTCTTCTGGATCGGTGGAGAATGATGGGTTGCAACAACCTCTTAAAACCCACATATTTTCATACTCTGGTAATGAATGAACCCTAATTTACAGCAAAACAGCCAAACGGAAATATATTAATATTTATATAGGTATAAATTTTTAGGAAAAAATGTTTCTGCTACAGACAAAGAATTGTGCACTAGATATGTTGTTGTAAATATTTACTTTAAAGAGTGAACTCCTTGTTTGTGCTCCCAAGCACGAAGGGTTTTGTATTTCTTGACGTCCGCTTTGGTATAACCCGCTCCAACTAAAAAGGTCTTTACCATGGACTCTTCCACAACTTGCGGTAAACCAGTGAGACTCTTGCTCCAGTTTTTTAGTTTCTGTAGCTGCCTTATCGACGGTAAGCTTTGGTCTTCAGCAGGTTGGGGCAACGGCACAGACGAACTCGTAGACGAAGTTGATATGTTTAAACCATTACAGACAAGATTAAGTATGGCTTTCTTTCCAAACGACTTTTCAACGTCAATGTCCAAACTTTTAGCGATATGTTTTAATTTTGTTTTGGACAGTTGTGCAACGTCCTTGAACGTCTTTAACGAGTTTACAATTGATACTTCCTGTCTGTCCCCCATTTTGTTTACATCGCAGTCCCCCCAAAGCGCAAAGCATTATGGTATTTGTGAAAGTGGAGAATAGTGCAGAAATTCAATAATCGCAACAGAAATAAGTAAAAACGAGTGACAATCCATATAAAAATTCAAAATTGGGAGAATGGACAAAATGTCACAATCGTGCCAATGACAGGTTACATAGGGGACAATCAATAACAAATCACATATAAAAAACAATGAACATAAGTAGCGCAAACCTAGTACTTACTTAATACCTACTATAATAACGAACCACTGATTTGCGTTTAAAAGTTTTTGACCTATCGCGAGACACTACCAGCCCTTTACAATTTACCTGTCTCCACTCTACATTACGGCTCTGTCAATCACGATATATAGCTTATTTTTCAAGACATCACGCTGCACACACATGATGCCAATAACCGGTGTTCATTGAATATGTAAGTTTAAATGGAAGATTCATTTGGTAGATGTTTATACTTTTTAAGTGTTTACTACGGATGCAAATACGATCACTTATATGAACACAGGGACGCCAGAACAGGGGGCAGAATCCTCGGACATTTATTTCGGTGTATTGTGAAAGCTATTTTTTAACATAGATTGTATATCGGCTAGAACATCCGGGATGCTTCAATCAGAATACTTTATACAGACGTACAATATCTTAACAGATGAGTTAATGGCGCAATGGGGTTCCGGGCACTTTCTAAGTTCGAGTGTAAGGAGTGTTCATCAAGTATATAATATTTTATTGAATGCTCTGTTTTTGTTTCATCAGCCAATAATTATTATTTCCCCCAATGTATAATAAGCGGAGGTAAATATCAGGTGTACTTGAACACGGAAGTGCGTTCGAGCACATTTCGTGCCATGTTATAAATTTCCTTTCTAGTTTAAGAATAGCAATCCATGTTCAAATAATTTAGAAGGTCAACAACTGTATCCCAACCCTCACTCTCAAATTCTTTAGGTGGGCTCAATTATACCTCGATCGGTACGATTTTTCGCGGTAATTATAATCGTATATAAGCTCTTAATTTTAAATGTTTCATCTTTATCGGGCTCACTTAAGGAACACTTTGACGAGGGTGTATGAAAACGGCAACCTTAATCATTCCAAGGAGTCTACGATCTCTTTTTATTTAAAAAGAAGCAATACACCACGCATGTATATCTATATTTCCCCTCGCACGTTTTTAGCTGTTGACGTGCAATATCAGGCAATAACAATTTCCTTTTCTTAAGTACATTGTTTTTATTCGGTACATGCATCCCTTAGTTCTCGAGCAGAGATAAAGAGTTATTATTATTGATTAAGAAGAACATTATAAGAGAAGCAGCTCACCGAACTCTCATTAGACACTCAGGATTTGCACGACATTCCTTTTCGTCCCGCAAAACGATGAAGTTCATATCGCTTGCTGTGTTCGCTTTTGCTTTGGTTTCGCACACCCTGGCTGATACAGGTGACAAGCATGACAACGAGCCTCGTGTAAGAATACTAAAATTGAATGTAAACTATCTGTATCGTTGTTGCTATTATAGAGGCAATTACATAGTGTCAGTCAGCCTAATGTCAAGATGAAGTTCGGTCGCATCTTGATCAAAATAGATCTGCATTTGGCTAAAAGAGAAATAACTTGTTAACACCTCAAAGCCAGTTTGAGCTATGTAACGTGGGCATGACTATAAAAACTACCAAGGCTTCAAGGAGAGTTCGTTCAATATATACATAAATATTAATGTCTCTTTAGGAACCTGGAATGCGAACAAAAAGAGGACCGCCTGGCGGTTGTTTACCAGGCCAACCAGGATGCCACACTCCTAGTTGCCAAAAGGGGCAATGCTGTGGTGTTCCGGGTGTCCCTGGTGTTCCAGGCGTACCTGGACAGACTGGCAGAGACGGCCAACCAGGCCGTGCTGGTGTGCCTGGGGCAATTGGAGCTCCTGGTCAACAAGGTGAGAAAGGTGATCGTGGTGATTCCGCGACATCAAACTGGAAACAATGTACTTGGAAGGTTGCAGATGGAAAAGACAATGGACTAATTCGTGTAAGCTTTTATACTCTTTTACTCTTTAGAATTACTTAAGGAAATTTTAAAAATGATTAAATTTTTTACTTTTATAGTCATATTTGACGGATACCTCCGCGTGGCCTTTAACAGAAATATAGCTATGCATATTGTTGTTTCATAGAGATTGGTTCTCAAAATCATATTTTGTTTACTTCTATAGTTTATTTTGTTTCAATATTTTGGAAAAGTACAATTTCGAGGCCAGATCGATATTACTGTATCGATAAATACATACGGAAATCTTATGACCTTTAAGTTTACGTATATCCAAACTAATTAAGTTAAATCAATCGTGTTTACGATACTTCAGATCGAGTCAGCTTTACTTCACAACTTGTTTCAATGGTGAGAAACATTAATTTTAAGAAACTATGATAACGATAATCCTATTCTGTACTTTTAAAAAGCACGACAAGCCTCCTTTGCCCTTTGACAGTTTACAAGAGCTGAAATTCTACTTGGGATAATTTGTATACAGTGGCGTAGCCAGCCCGACAATTTAGTCATGCTATGCTAATATTTTGGTGTTCATTGACTTCGAAAACAATGAATTTCTAAAGAGTTTAATAATTCTAATGACTTAAAATTTGCATAGCATGACCACATTGTCAGGCTGGCTACGCCACTGTTTGTATATATATTATCAGTGGCGCAGCAAGCTTGATGAGTCCAACTCAATTGAGAAAACAATTTATTCCTAAGAAGTAAGAACTATATATTTCGTTTATAATGTTTTTAGGAATGCACGTTTGTTAAAAAACGAGACGAATCTTATCTTCGGGTTTTCTACGCTGGAAATCTTCGCATCTACAACTGTGATGCTTGTTGCAAACGATGGTATTTCACTTTTAATGGAGCCGAATGCAATGCTCCTATTGAAGGTGTTTATTATATGTGGAAAGGAAGAAACACTCAAAACCTTCACCGCCATCGACATATTGAAGGTTATTGTGGCAATATTCGTCAAGGCAATATCCGTGTTGGATTTAATGTTGGTAATTGCCACGGTTATGGAAACGCTGACGCGTATTCCGGATGGAATTCTTTCTCGCGTATTGTGATTGAAGAAGTCCCACCTCCACAACAATAGATTAAATGCTACCTGCTTTTACATTTATTGCTTTATATAGAAATACGTTTTAATTTCTGAATAATTTCTCTGTGTGAATTTTTCTTTTTGGGAAATTTAGAGAATAATCACATATGAATACAATAATTATACTAAGTCTACAGTGAATATTATTTTGCTTAAGTAAAAAACGTGATGGAGTAATTCTTATAACTCTTAATAAATGCACGCCAAACTTGATGTGTCGCCCGTATTTCTGACTACACGTCTCACAGGGCGGATCTAAGGATGATCAGAGCGATTCCAGGACTGAGGTAAATTTAAAAAAAAAGCCTAGGATATGAATTGGAAAAAAGAACAGTCCAGTGCCCTGCATGCATGCATCAAACAAAAGTTCACAGTCCAGTTTTAAAAATATTATCTGGCCTAAAGCCTTCGAACATGAAAGCGTAGAAAGCGCTTTTACTCGTGAGTTTTCCTCGTTTCGTCATTCGCTACATCACTCCAGCGGTCTGATTGGCTATCTTTTTTATCGCTTTGTGGATTAAATTAATTCCCGTCCGATCAGATGATATTTAAAAGTGGTTAGCTGATTTTAACTTGCGATTCCTGTGCGAAAACTTGACCGATTTTAATAAAAATGGGACCACTTTAAAGAAGAAGAAATTGTTCTCAGTGGATACATGTTTTTTTAGATCGATATGTTGCCAACTCGCTATGATATTCAATTTAATGTGCATTCGTTTTATATATTATTCAATATTACACATCAAAGAGGCCTAATCTATAAAGTATTGCCCAAATGCAAACTAAAACGGGTTAAAGTGATTTAGTTCACATAATAAAATTACATCGCATCACCGGCAATAATATTTCACAATAATAAAAATATCGACAAAAATTCCAGGCAAAAAAGCCGAAAATCTGTCCCCTAGGTCCAATTTTAAGTCAGAAATCAATTTTTCGGGTCAAATTTATCCTAGTGGGAGGGCATTATATTAAACATCGTAAACGTGTTTGGTTTTGTAATTTTATTTGTCGGGAATAAATCGTTCAAAAAGGGAAGGATTACAAGAGAATTCTAAATCATTTGTGGATTTTGGTCAAGGAATTATAGTCACTCAAACACATTTTGGTGCCGATTCCCGGGAATTGAAGTCTATTGAAGTCTAAAATTCGTGATTTATCATTGATAATTTGTGAATCAAACATGGCGGATGTAAGTAAAAAAGTGAGAATTTGAGCCGGACATCGAAGTCATGCAAAGAAAATTATGTCTATGGCTAGAGAAACATTCGAAAAGGTCGAAGGCAGAGGAAATGTGGGGTCGTTAAAAAAGCTCAAGTCTTTGGAATCTGAATAAAAAGATAAATTTTCGCAGCTAAAAAATATGGATACCGAAATCGCAGAATCACTCGAAGATGGAAAAGCAATGAATTAAGAAGTCAAAGCCAGTTGTGAATTCGTAAGTGCTGTTTATGATTGTGTTTCTGATGTTTTTCTGTTAGTATAGGAAGCTCAAATAACGAAAAACCCTCAACTGGCTTCTCAACCCCCCTGACTGCATTGTATGGAAAGCCAAACATTATTCATGCAAGATTACTTAAGTTAGAACTTAAAAAATTTGGTTGAAATCCTGTCGAGAGGACATCTTTTGGGACTCTTTCAATCAGCTGTAGTCTAAAACCTGTAAAGGAGTATGTATGCATTTCAGTTTGGACCGATTATCTCAACTGTCTTAGGGTAAAATTACCATGACGGTCAACATGAAAATCTGAATCCGGGACGAAAGTCCTAAAATGACCACACCCAGAAACGGCATAGTCGACATAGCTCTAATTCCTGAATTATCAAAGCTACGTCTTTCTGAATTGTTTATATGGTTCAGAATGGTTGCTTTTAGGGGTTGTCACTGGAGAGTGAAATTAGCCTAAGTTTCATATTTTACTATGAAAATGAATGTTTACAGTGGCGTAGCCAGCCTGGCGATTTTGTCCCGCTATGTAAATTTCGAGTTATTATAATTATTCATTCCTTTAGAAATTTATTGTTTTCACAGTCAATGAACACTAAAATATTAGCATAGCGGGGCAATTCGTCAGGCTGGCTACGCTACTGAATGTTTACCATACCAGGTCAACTGCTATTTATGCATAAAAATAAAGATTCACCTGGCAAAGTCTAATTTTCTCTAATTTCCAAAACACGTTTGCCATATGATAAAAAAACATGCTTTTTTTAATGTTTATGAATTGCTTAAAACATGCTTATTTTAATGCTTACTTTAATGTTTTATTCATTATAAATTTCCTATAATGATACGACATATTTCATTTCACTTACCCCCCGCCAAAACACGATTTCAGCCATATTTTGCGAATTTGATCGCCGTTTTTCGCCGTCCGTCGCAAGCACCATCCAAATAACGTACTTTACCACGATTCTAATAATTTAGCACGATGAATAATTGATAGCTACAATAGCAGCTATCCAAAATTTAAAAGCATTTGTCCCACTTTGAAGTAAAAAACCACCCCTCGTTTATCGGGAGTGAAATTTAAGTGCGAAATTTTCAAAATAATTTAAAAAGTCTAGCGCACAATCCACGACAAATGCTCGTGGGCAACATTGCAGGGGGGTGCGCGTTTTCACGAAGATATTTCTGGTTTATTTTTTTAGCTTTTTAATGAGAAATATTAACAGCAAAACGGACAAATTTTACTCGGGTTGTTGACTGTTTGTGGTTGTGAACAAATGTATTCTTGAATATTTCTCCCCCCGGAATGTTGTCCACGAGGGTTTGTCGCGGGGTTTGCGCGAGTCTTTCAAATTATTTTAAATCTTTCGCAGTTGAATTCATTCCCGACAAACGAAGGGAGGTTTTTTACTTCCAAGTTGGACAATTTAAATGCCGAGACAATAAAACTGAGACCTATGGTAGCTTTTTAGCCTCAGTTATAATGACAAAGATTCCTGAAGAAATGCGTATTGCCATCATAAGAGAATTATCATCTAATGACTGGCAATTAGAGCCTCCTTAAACTGCGTGAAAAATGTCAACATATTCCTGGTTCCCTACCAAATAGCAGGGACAATCGATACAGAGGCATTCTTTCTACATCACATTCACTGCTCACTGACACCAATAATGATGATCAACAGGGTCCATGGTGCACTTACTGCAAGGGAAATCATACATCAGCTAGCTGTACTATTGTTACCCAAATCTCTCCAAGAAAACAAATTCTGCGAAAGAAGGGAAAGTGTTTTGTATGTTCACAGGCGGGATACTTTGCTGCAAACTGTAGGTAACCCAAAAAAGGATGCCTGCGTTGTCATTTGAATCACCATATATCAATATGTGAGTCAACCTCGTACCCAGGGTCTTTTACCTACGCTCCACGGCCCACGCTGCGGCAAAGACCCTGGCAGAAGCTGGTCACGTGTTTAGCGAACAATTTGTTGCCTCAGGGAGTGTGGATTAGAGTATCATATTACATGCTTCCACATCCGGATTTGATTTTGCCATGTTGGACCATCTTGCTTTTTTATCTTGCTTGGAGTTTGCCGTTTTGAACAGTTTATACGAAGAAAAAAATTTTAAACCAAGGCAAGTCATATGTCTTGAAAGTGTTTATCTTCATAATGATGTTATGTGTGTTTTGCCGACGGGATACGGCAAGTCCCTAGTTTTCCATCTGTTGCCAATGCTGTTGTATGCCAAGATCAAGTTGCGTGGCGATTTAATTTGTGGTTGGAGGTCAAGGGGTTTGACTGCGGCTGTAGTTGACTCGATTGTAGTCGTTGTCTCTCCTCTAAATTCTTTGATCTCTGATCAAATATCCCGTCTAAATAAGAGTGGCATCCGGGCGTCTGTCTTAACGGTGAAAGAGTCGAAGGATGAACGAAGTCAACGAGGGGAAGAAGACGATTCTGATGAAATGGGAAACATTGAGATTAATTTCTGCTTTTGTGAAGAACAAATGTTACGCGATGGCTGTTATAATATTGTTTTTGCACATCCAGAAGCATTAATATCCAGCAAGTACGGTCGTGATTTGTTGTTAAGCGACAAATATCAGGAAAATGTTCGTGCGATTGTTGTGGACGAAGTCCATTGCATTATTGACTGGTATGTATAAATATAAACTTTGAAACAACGTATTTTGTATGGTAACTATAAGGAACTCTAAAAAATTCCAACTCTTATTACTTGGTTCTATTACCACTGGGCTATAACACAAACTTAATATTTTAGGATGGATTTATCAATTTGAATATTGCATTGACTAAAATTCTAATATTTTTCAATTTGAATATTTTTAGGGGAAACGACTTTAGAAAGGATTACAGCAAGTTGGGAGTGCTTTGTGCCCTTTTTTCAGACGTCCCAGTTCTTGCAATGACAGCAACTGCAAGTCAAACTGATATAAAATATATCCGGGACTCATTGGGGTTGAAAAAGGTGAAGTGTATAATTGGCAACCCTGACAGAAGAAATATATTTTATCAAAAAATATTTCAAAGTGGGAAAGATGTTGATACTATCCACTTAATTTTAATGCCAATTGCTACCGCCCTGTTAAAGAAAAAGATTGAATTTCCTTTAACAATTGTATATGTTCCATTGCGCTTGTGTGGTTTTGCATACAAACTGTTTGAACATGTTCTTGGCAGTGAGCAATATTATCCTACTGGTTCACATAGACCAGCAAACAGGTTGTTTGCACAATTCCATGCTCCCCAAACAGAAGAAATGAAGAAAGAAATATTGATGCAACTTAGTTCTGGAAGAAGTGTTGTCCGTGTTGTATTTGCAACAGTAGCTACTGGGATGGGGGTGGACATACCTAACATCCGCCAGGTGGTACATATTGGTCCTCCATGCTCTGTAAAAGCATACTTCCAAGAGACTGGACGTGCTGGCAGGGATGGACAGCCTGCATCAGCTTATTTGTATTACTGCAATAGAGACATTGCAAAGAACAAAGTGGGGATGCAAGATGATATGCGTGAGTTTTGTGCCAGTTCTGATGTATGCCTCAGAAAATTAATGCTAATGTCACTGGATTATGAACAAGACTTTTATATAAAACCATTGCATCTTTGTTGTGGCTCCTGTAAGAAACACTGTAAATGTTCCAGCTGCTTGCAAGTATTAATGTAAAACATTAAGTTGGAGACAAATGTTTGGTCATGAAAGAGACATCATAGAATTGTTTTGTTGTATTATGTGTTTACATCTTATTGACTGCAAATTAAGGTAAAATGTAGAAAATATTTACAGCATCCTGGCTTACATCTAATTAAATGAAATTTGTCCTGCACAAATGTGAAGGGTTACAGGACCAACAATGATAAAGTCAAATACAACAAACTAGTACTGCATCAAACATGCATATTGTTTGTTAATTGTTAATTGTAAGAGTGCTTAAATCATAGTGTGTGTGAATAAAGATAAAAACCATGATACCTATAAAAGAATTTTCCAACCGGTTTGACAAAACTTGATTGAAACATCAAATCTGACAGTAATGACATTTAGAATATGGTGCTGCATATTAGCACAGTTTGACAACACAATATACATTTTCAGTAATTATTTCACAACTGCATGGTTCATGCCAATTTATAATATAATAATGCCAATGTGCACATTCACCATTGTCTTCTGTCTGACTTCTATGCATTTGTGACATGTACTGGTAATTCCTGAAAAGGTCTATTGAGGTTCTTCTGCTACAGGATAGTGGATTAATATATTGTTCTTATGTCGTTCCATCCATTCCTTGAACTTGTCTTTATCTAACAAGTGTGTTGGATTGTGAGAAATGCCATCAAATGTTTCAAATTTCCTTTCCTCTTCCTGTCTGAAAGGCCTTAAACTTCTCAGGTCTCTTGCAACTATGGCCTCATCATCAGTTGAAGACTTGTGAGTATGGCTTGTTGACTTAGCATGAATGTTCATTTGTGCCTCAAATGCTTCCACAATCTCAGTCACTCCACCTGATGCTTTGCTTGCTCGTTTTATTGCTTTCTCTGTCTTATTGGCACCCATTGACCTTATCAACTTTTTCATTTCACAGTTTCTGTTTTCCTGAAACAGGTCAATCTCTATGTTATTATAGTATTGTCAATTAGTATAATTAAGTTAATTAGTATGCATGGTATAGCTTTATACAGATGTTAATATTCGCATACATAATGTAGTATATAGATAGACGGTTTTCAAAATATAGTCAGATTCTATGTGATTCTTTACCTGAAACAGGTCAATCTCTATGTTATGACCAGCACCACCTTTCCAGTTAACAGTTGCTGCCCACTTGCAACGATGAGCTTCAGCTTTTGAAAGCAACACTTCTGTTTGAAGAATGTTAATTAACATCTCTATTGCAAAGTCATTAAAGCCAGGTGTTGAGAAGAAATGAGTTAATAATTGTTTACGCAGAATGAAAATGTGTTCACCATTGCCAGTAGCAACAGCATCCTTGAAGTCAGCTAACAACATGAAACACTCAAGCAAGTTATCAGCATATGCCCAAACACCATCTGCAACTTCGTTTGATGCACTATCATCTGAAATCCCATCCAAAACACTATCTGAATCATCACTCTTTTCTTCATTGAAAACAAACTCATCAAGAAACTTGTCAACAACTTGAAAAATATACTGCTTTCCATATTCATCACCAGAAACACTTGCACTATGAGGAACGTTTGCAGTGGGATCGTGCTTTCTGTCTTCCATTTGAAAAAATTCCATGAGAGCTTCAACAACATAGCATTTACCAATACTGAAAAACAGTTGTTCACAATCCTCATAGTGCTTCACGTCTACAGTAACATTTCTTCGGTTCAGTTTCTCACGAAAGAATCGAAGTGTACCTTTCTCTCTGCCTGAGTTTTTGTAGAGTTTTTTGAATATGGTCTAAATGGAAAAGGTTTACTCATTTTTGGCAATTTTATATAATATTTCAAATGGGTTAATTTGCATAATATGGCAGATATGAAGTTACATGGTTACATGTATTGTAGTCATACATACCTTCAAAAGCTCCTCTTTGTATGCCAGTCAACAATAGAGAAAGGATAAATATGATCAAGTCTTTGCTTTGCTGTGTGACAACCTGATCTTAAGTCTCTTGCCCCTGCAAATCTGACTCTTGTCAATTGATCCCCAAAGCATGGAACTTTCACACCACACAGTGGATCAGTATCAGTTTCTACAGGAGGGATGTGGGATCCAGGTTGGTCAGGTCTGGAGTGGGTTCCAATGGTGGGAGTAGCATCTTGGACATCACTGGGAGGTGGTGAACATAACCCTGCAGCTTCATAGATGTCATGAGTCCACTTTTCAAGTTGATCTAAGACATCAACACATTCTGCATACTTCTTCTCGTCTTTCATCAAAACCGGCATTGTCAACACTTCCGACTTAGTTTCCATCTCACTCTTGTATGCACAGTTTGTGGCTTTAGGTAGATACTGCCTGAACGCTCCAAAATAGGGGAAATATTCAAACAGAATATTAGCAACAAGTATTGTATACCGGTTTCGAATTGCCTCCAATTCCAGTGGATTGATATTCACCAACTCATGAACATTGCAATCTTTCAGTCGTTGCTGTGGACCAGAATCGGGCAATCCTTCATCAGAAACACGGTTAAATACAATACTTGTTGCAACTGCATGAACACTTCTATTTTGCACATTTTGCCTCATGTCATGGGCTTTCTCCTCCCAGTCAATGTTATCTAAGACATACACAAATGAACGTCCTGACTTCACCAACTCTGCGGCACGATCAATGAAGTGTTTGCCAATGTCTTCCAGGATGTTGTATTTGCTTGATGGTTCAAGGCACATACCATACTTGTGAAGACGTGTAACCAGCTATAATGCAGAATATAAATAAGACTAAATATTCATTTCTATTGCACAACTTACCATAACATTATGTCAATTGTCAACACACACATAAAGGTAAATCAGAAAGAATGAGTTTATCTTACATTTCCAGATGCTTGTCCTTCAATTAGCAAAACTGAATTGATTCTTTGAACTCGACTCAATTCATGGCACCGTAAAAACATAATGATGCTGTACACAAAGGAGATGGCATAACTTTTCTTTTCTTTGTATATGGTGCTATCAAATAGTCTACATAGAATCCTATGGACTCTTGGGCATCTGGTCGACAACTCCTCAAGCACTTTTGTAACCCAACTTATGTCTGCCAGACCATCAAAGCTCCTTTCTCTTAGGACAGATGGCTCACTTCTCCTAGCAACTTCTATAAGCTCCTTTTCTGCCTCAATCAAGATTTTCATTCTTAAAATTTAATATGAATATATGATATTAGTATCAAAATACGTTACCACATATTTTAGATTTGTGATTATTACTATATGAAACATCTTATGACTTGCCAACTATAATATAAGTGAATGAATGATTGGTTTGCTTCATCAGCTTGCCTAACAATCTCGTGAAGGAAACCTTTTTACAATATTACACATGCATGAATTAATCACTAATGAAAATACATAATTTGCGTAAAATATAGCGCAAAATATTCCTAAAAGAAAAATTGGCAAGGTTTTGCGCCTATACAAATATACAATGTAAAATTTCAGGTTTTATAAAGTACTTACATTCACAGTCGATAACGCAACAGCAGGAATGACATTTTCTTGTTCAGCAACATTGCCGAAATCGATACTTCGTCGACGTGGCAAATCCCCAGCAGAACGAAGTTTGACGGGTGGTTTCAGCACGGAAGGTGATACGTCAAGACACCGTTTTGTTCTTACAATTTTCTGTAACTCACTCTGAGTTTCGGCGATAACTTTCTTGAACTGCACAACGTTATCAAGTCTTCGCTCACACGGCCGACATATCAAGCGAGGAAGCTCGACGTGCTCAATTAATTCGCTGCCAAAAAATGACTCAACGTTTCGAAGAATTGCTTTATTGTTGGCCCGAAATAGACGTTTACTATGATTTGGATCAGTAACACTGTTGCAAAGCCTGCAACGCGAAGTATTTGCCGTCGATTCCGAACGTTTCTTATAGAACTTTTTAGGCGTGTCTTTACTAGCCATCGACGCAAGTATAAATGAATAGGATTTTGACATTTGATCCAACTTCTTGCTTTGAATTGTAATCTAATACCACGATTGTAGAGAGACATGATGCAAGGTTTTTCACACATTTTGTCTCACAATATTGCAAATATTAATATAAAGTTTCGTGTATTAAAAACAGTGAACTATACAAAAACTAAAGCAATACAAAATACACTTCCCAACTACCCCTCCCATATTAAAATAGTCAAGAAACCCCCAAAATCTGGGGGTCACGTGACCAGCTTCTGCCAGGGTCTTTGCCGCAGCGTGGGCCGTGGAGCGTAGGTAAAAGACCCTGGGTACGAGGTTGTATGTGAGTCTCCAACCAATTCAGATCAAGTGAAAAATCAAGAATCTTTGAAAGGGAGCACAGGGAACAACCCAAATGATACCTCCGAGCAGACTCCTGCTTATGGGAATAACCAGACTACCAGCATGTTAATGAACTCGAAAAACAGCACTCCATTACAAACTGCAAGAGCCAAGGTCAGCAAACCTGGTTGTGATCAACCTAGCGTGAATGCAAGAATCATAATTATTTGACAATTGTAGTCAAAGAAGTTATATCACCAGCAACCTGCAAAGAGTCCTTCGCCTTCCAGTGTCTGGAAATGATACATTACTCATTAAAACGTTTGGAGAAACCTCAGCCAAGTTACAGCGATATCACATTGTCCAGCCGGCGGTTGAGACAATGGATGGAATGGAGATATATATGTCCGCATAATTATGTTGTTCCCACAATATGCCCTCAGCAACCAGATCATTCAATTCACACAAGAAACCCATCCTCACTTACGCGGACTTGAGTTAGCGGACAGTACGCAGAATTCCGCAGAGCTTGCTGTGGATATTCTTATTGGGGTTGATTTTTATTGGCACTTCGTAACTGGTGAGGTCGTTCGTGATAGTAGTCATGGTCCAGTAGCCATTTCAACTAAGCTTGGCTGTGTCTTAGATATCTAGAAGAAAAGATCATTACGCAGAAAGTTATTTCCAGCACTATATTCGAAGTGAAGATATTCGACCCACTTGGTGTCTTTTCACCAATCGTCATTGTCCTGAAAATTCTGTTCCAGCGGTTATGCTAGAAAAGTGTTGACTGGGACGTCCCTGTCGACAAGGAGATAATCGAAGAATGGCGATCCATTCTGGAGAATATGAAAGAAGTCTCTGCTATACCGATACCCAGATGGTATTTTTTCTAAGTTGAACAATCGCACTCTCGAACTGTCTTGCGTTGAGTTGCACGGGTTTGGAGATGCGTCAGGAAAGGCATACGGGGCGGTCGTGTATATTAGAGCCGAGTCTAGTGAATCGGTAGTCTCCACATTAGTGGCATCTAAGGCAAAAGTTGCCCCTATCGCTGGTTGCACTATTCCAAGATTAGAGCTACTTTCCGCGGTTATTCTTGCCCGATTAATATCAAGAGTTCAGAACGCCTTGTGCGAAACGTTCTCGATCACCAGATGTGTCTGTTGGTTGGACTCGGAAATAGCATTATGGTGGATTACCCAGTCAGAGAAAGAATTTAAAACATTTGTCCAAAATCGAGTTGTAAAAATCCGAAGATTAACATCCCTGGAAATGTGTCGACATGTTCCATCGGAAGGCAACTAGTCAGACCTGTTATCTCGCGGATGCAGCGCGTCACGTTTGAAAGATGAAGCACACTGGTGGGAGGGTCCTAATTTTCTGAAATCGCGCGAGAAATTATGGCCAGTGCAGTAACAATTCGGTTTGACGAAACTCGAAGACAGTGAGCTTAAAAAGAGGCAAGAAATAGCGGTAAACGTGGTCAAAGTAGCTAAAGCTGGTATCAATCAAGTCATTGAAATTGAGCGATTCAGCAATTTGGGCAGGTTACTGAGAGTTACGAGTTATGATTTGAGATTTATTTATGTTGCGCCGAAATGTAGATCTGGTCGTATGAGAGAATGTGTTGAACCAAGCGTTGAAGAAATGAATCGTTCAGAAGCATTGTGGATCAAGAACTCGCAAAATTTCGTTCGCGAAGACAAGGGATACGGACAGTTACATATTACGAAACGCATTGGGTCAAGTTGAAGATGAAAGCGGAATTCTGAGGTGTCATAGAAGAATAGGAAACGCTCTCTATCCATACGAAGCGAAGTTCCCAGCTCTTCTCGCGAAAGAAGATCCATTCACCAAATTGGTTATTTGGGATAGTCATACAAAGGTTATGCACAATGGAGCAAGGGACGTTCTGAGAGAAATTCGTGCACGATTCTGGATTACACAAGGCCGTCAAGTCGTCAATAAAGTAATCTCCAAGTGCGTTATACGAATGGAAGCCAAAGCTTGTTGTTTCTGACAAGGCAAAAACGTTTAAGAGTTCGAACTTGAAGGCGTTTCTTTCCCGGTACAATACTTCTTGGAAATTTAACATTCCACTAGCCCCATGTTGGAGTGGTTTCTTCGAAAGACCCTTTCGTTCGATAAAATGGTGTTTGAAGAAAAGTCTTGGAAATTCAAAGATAACCTATGAAGAATTCCAGACAATTCTTGTTGAGATTGAACGGACTCTAAGTTCCCGTCCTTTGACGTACTTATCGGAAGAATTCACGCAACCATTAACTCCATCATCATTGTGTATAGGTCGGAGATTGCTCGATCCCGGAGCGAATCACGAGTCTCCATTTACAAGTACTCTTTATTCGCCTCTTCTGACCTGACGAGAAGGCAGAAACACCTGAACTTAGTATTAGATCATTTCTGGAATCGATGGCGTAGAGAGTATTTAGCGGAGCTACGGGAACACCATCGCGGAAGAAAAGAATCAGACAAGCGGAAGATTAAACAAGGAGACATAATATGTGTTCATGAAAATTTGGTGCCACGCCAAAATTAGAAAGTCGCAATCGTACAGAAGTTAATAAAGGAGAGAGATGGTCGTGTAAGAGCTGCAGTATAGTGCGTTTGGCAAAGGACAATAACTGCGTGGAGTTAAGTCGACCGGTGGAAAAATTATATCCAATAGAAGTTTCAGGGGATCTTGGGGTGAATCATGAAAAAACATCCAGTGGGCATGTGGTTTATCTCGAGCGTTTTCCCGCGAAAATGTATTGGGAATGAAATGGTAAACGTGTTTGGTTTTGTAATTTTATATGTCGGAAATAAATCGTTCAAAAAGTTAATAAAAAAAATTAATAAAACTTTTTGTTTAATTCTCGCGTTCTTTGTATATTTTTGGAAAAAAACATTCAGGATCGCTTAGGGATACATTTATGCTTGCATCCCTTGATATCCATCGTAATTATCGCTACCCTGGTTTTAGTAAATGAAAGTAATCACCACACAAAGATTAACTTTCACGACCCAACGTTTCGACACTCCGGTCTAGTGTCTTCATCAGGGGTGATCTGATGTTGAAACTCGGTTCCTTATATACTCTCAAAATGACGTCATCTATTAATCAGATGTAAATACTCTTTTGGCAAATAGCTTCCGTCATCCCTATTAAGGGCACAAAGACTCGCATTAATATGCCAGGCTTCCAAACAACGCCTTTGTCCATAACGATCATTAGTGGTAATGACTTTTGAATCGTTCCACCCAATGTTATGGTTAGTTTGACACACGTGTTCCGCCAAGGCTGATTTTGAACTGTCTAAGTTCGATACGGCCTTTTGATGTTCTTTTAAACGTGTGCCGAACTGGCGTTTTGTTTGACCTAGATATTCTTTCTCGCAATCACCACATGGTATAGAGTATACAGCATGAGTTTTCTGTTTAGTCGCTACGCGATCCTTGGGTTTCGCGAAAATATGTCCCAATGTCTGAAAGGGTTTTAAGGCAACTTTTATACCACAATTATTCAGGATCCTCCTGATTGGTTCTGCAATTCCCTGAATGTATGGAACTATAGCAAAACCTGTTTTTGAGGAATCACCCTCTGAGGAATTGCATCCAGTCGAGACAGGGGATTTTAGACAATCATTTAAAAAGTTTCGAGGATAGTTGTTCTCTCTCAGTACACTGAGGACATAATCACGCTCGTTGTCCCTAGCAACGCGATTGGATGGTAACGATTCAGCTCTTTGAAACAAAGTTTTTGCAACAGACTTTTTATGACTTTTTGGATGGTGTGAGTAGAAGGATAGATATTTGTCCGTATGTGTAGGTTTACGGTAAACGTCACCTGTGGAGGATATAATCGATCTTTTATCCTTTTGTCTCAATACGACTTATTTTACTTTTGAAGGCAACTATTACCAGCAGGTTTTTGGGACAGCGATGGGATCCCCGGTCTCGGCAGTAATTGCTAACCTAGTAATGGAAGATGTCGAGCAAAGAGCTTTAGCCTCTAGTCCGGTCAAACCCTTGTTTTGGAAACGATATGTTGACGATGTGGCCTCTGCGGTTAACAAAAATGAGATCGATAATTTGTTGAAACATTTGAATTCTATTGAGCCATCAATTCAATTCACTGTAGAGCGCGAGAGTGAGGGAAAGTTGGCTTTTTTGGATACTTATGTTCATAGAAATATCGAAGGGCAGTTAGAAACTGACGTTTACCGTAAACCTACACATACGGACAAATATCTATCCTTCTACTCACACCATCCAAAAAGTCATAAAAAGTCTGTTACAAAAACTTTGTTTCAAAGAGCTGAATCGTTACCATCCAATCGCGTTGCTAGGGACAACGAGCGTGATTATGTCCTCAGTGTACTGAGAGAGAACAACTATCCTCGAAACTTTTTAAATGATTGTCTAAAATCCCCTGTCTCGACTGGATGCAATTCCTCAGAGGGTGATACCTCAAAAACAGGTTTTGCTATAGTTCCATACATTCAGGGAATTGCAGAACCAATCAGGAGGATCCTGAATAATTGTGGTATAAAAGTTGCCTTAAAACCCTTTCAGACATTGGGACATATTTTCGCGAAACCCAAGGATCGCGTAGCGACTAAACAGAAAACTCATGCTGTATACTCTATACCATGTGGTGATTGCGAGAAAGAATATCTAGGTCAAACAAAACGCCAGTTCGGCACACGTTTAAAAGAACATCAAAAGGCCGTATCGAACTTAGACAGTTCAAAATCAGCCTTGGCGGAACACGTGTGTCAAACTAACCATAACATTGCGTGGAACGATTCAAAAGTCATTACCACTAATGATCGTTATGGACAAAGGCGTTGTTTGGAAGCCTGGCATATTAATGCGAGTCTTTGTGCCCTTAATAGGGATGACGGAAGCTATTTGCCAAAAGAGTATTTACATCTGATTAATAGATGACGTCATTTTGAGAGTATATAAGGAACCGAGTTTCAACATCAGATCACCCCTGATGAAGACACTAGACCGGAGTGTCGAAACGTTGGGTCGTGAAAGTTAATCTTTGTGTGGTGATTACTTTCATTTACTAAAACCAGAGTAGCGATAATTACGATGGATTATATACCTGGTTGCCGTGAACTCATAAACTTCAATCCCTTGATATTTTTAAAACTGATTAAATCTTGATTGTTTTGTAATGGACCACCTTAAAATATTTAAATATATATCAAATTAAAAAAAATTATAATGTTAAAATTTTAAATATATACTTGTATCTGACAAAATTTGTAATTCTTTTTAAAATGTTCAAAAAAATTAGCTACTAAAAATTAAAAAGGAGATTTACATGCACATGCGTGTTAAAAGTTTTAAACATTCAATTTTTTTTCAGATAGATAATATCACATTGTCAATGCAGATAAGTAGTAAAATATTGTCAATTTGTCATTAGATTACTGCATTAAAAACCAAATATACTTGCTAGTGTAGTACGCGTCTTGGAACTGACGAAATACAAGTATTAGTAGTAGTAGCAGTTTATTAAAAACAACATCTCGCAGTCTTAAGACTGAATTACATGTGTTGGATACAAAAATTAAGAATATAGTATAGAATATCAATTTATATAGTACATTTTATAATAGCTACTGACTAATACTTTTATAATACTAATAATTATTTATCTATAATATACTATTTAAACTATTTAAAAAGATAAAATGTTTAAGTTTCCTTATAGTGTTTTTTGGCATAATAATTTATAAAAGAGTTCCCGAAGCGATTCGTACTTGCAGGTGGGACTTGGAAAGTTCTTTCTTTCCGTAATTTTCTATTGCCTGCTTTAGGATACAACATTACCAATTTGCCATTAAATGTCTACCATTCTCTACATTGTTCAACCCCTCACTCTAAGAATAATCTAAAACCAGGAAATGCAGTACGTTTTCCATATGAAACACCTCCCGTGACCCGCCCGGAATGCCAATAGAAATAAAAATTTTTGCAAGTGGAGATTCCACTTTACTTCACATTGCTCGGCCAAAGACACTGCGCACGAGTAAGTGTGAAAAACTTCATGTTGCGTCCAGAATAGTGTGCTATAAGGGCAAGCAACAATAACTCACTATGCAGCAAAAAATAGCTTTTACAACATAGCGTATAAATGTCTGAGCATTGTTGTACTTGTCTAGAAGTAACAAACAAATCGATTCTTGTTATGACTTTCTACTCTTGGGTGAATTCACTGAGATATAATTACTATAATTATTTAGTCAATTGATTAATAATTAACCTGACTAATATTATTAGCTATTATGAACGGCTCCATAATACTTGTGTCTAAAACAAAAAACAGAGGATCGAAATCAATATTTCCGAATCTAGCAATATTTCCGAATCTAGCAATCAATCCGACAGCCACTGTGTTAGCATTACAATAATCAATATAATTGTGGTTTTCAAACATTTTTATACGTTGCATCTCAAATATCGTTAGGAATCTAATTAGGTAATTATAGCCTATGCAGGTTCCAGCAACGATTACGACAGGTTAATATAATCAAACGTAATAGGTGATTACGTTTGATACGAGTGAAAAAAGTTAATAATTATATACCAATTTTACGGTAATGTGTTTCGGACTCATCAACTGGCGATTTTTGAATGTATAGTTAAACCATTAAGCTGCGATTTTCTGTAAATACGACTTTCTTGCTTTGGTCGATGCAAACGAGCAAATAGTTAGTCCTATATGCATTCTCTGATGTTATCAAATGTATATAATTTTATATAGAATAATAGTTTGTATATTGGCTGAAACCTACGCTGGTGAGATAAGGGTTTACTTAAATTCCGGATACATTCTAAATTCAAGTGTTCTGTTTTCATCAACTAATAATATTGTATTGAACGCTCTCTCTTTGTTTCATCGGCCAATGATGGTTATTTCCCCCGATGCAAATAAGTGGAGGTAAATATATTAAGGTGTACTTGAATAAGGAATTAAGTGGGTGCAAGTACATTGGGTATGTCACACGTTTCCTCTGCCAGTTTAATTATTTCTTTTAGACAAAGATATCAACGAGCTGTTTATTATAGCTAATAAGATTAGTACAGTTGGCTGAGTTAACTTGAGTCAACTCACCCAAGAATAGAAAGCCATGATATCAAAATGGATTTGTTTGGCAATTTTTAATAGGTTTGCAATCATGCTCAGACATTTTCAACATGGTTCGAATGTCGGCTATAGACTGTAGTATCCTCGGAATATACATTATAAGTTCAAGTGTTTATCAACTAATAATATACTCTTTTGAATACTCTCTCTAAAGGCCTATTTAGATTATACGATATGAGTTGTATGCAACTATCATTCTGGGGCCGGTTGTATCAAGCCCGTTTAGCTTAAACGGTGATTAAGTTGAAAATAGAAAGCAAGTCTATTAAACCTTAATACAAAGACACTGTTTACAATTACATATTCAGTGCATAATATTCAAGTTGACTTATTCAATTAAGAGAGACCTAAGAGTGTTATTTAATTTTGACTTATCCACCGTTTAAGCTAAACGGGCTTGATACAACCGGCCCCAGAAGAAGGCAAAAAGAGGGCCTATGTTGCAATCCCCTCGCTTTCATTTGAGGGAGAAATTTCAAATGCCACGTTTGTATATGTGTTTACACGTTCACATACGCCAGGGTAAGAATCGTATACGACAAATATGGCTATTTCCCCTAATGTGTGAGTGGAGGTAAAATTGATATCAGGGTCTAGTTGTACATATATTGAAAGTCGGATATTATGTAAGAACAGTTTTATTAAATTTTTGAAAGGTAGAAGCTGCTTGAGGGGTATGAAGTGATTATTCTTGCAGCAAAGTTTTGTACACGTTGTAGTTTGGCTGTCAAACGCGCATTCAATCACATATTTTAGATGTCACAAATTTTCCTGCCAGTTTCAGAATGGTGCAATTATAATTCATGTATAAATAATTCAACTTTTGCTTCCACTTAAGTTCTCCCCTTAAGTTCATTGATTGGGAATATCCCTATAACTACCACGTTACCATTTTGTTACGGTATTTCAAATCGTATTAAATCTTTTATAATCATATTTTTGTAATCGCATTTTAAGCCCCGTACAGACGAGAGCTAGCTTTATATGACGGATCAGATTTTTTTACGACATGGTTTCATTGGCAATTGCAGTGTGTATGTACAGTGTGTATGACAGTTTTTTCTTTGACAAGTTTTACTGCCTGTGTGAACGTGCCAAAAGTTTATTTTGGCAATTTAGTTTGCAGTTAGTTATTTAATCGTACAGCGGCAAACGTATAAGCGCGCTAACCGGCGCCATTTTAAAATTTCATTTCTGAATAATGTAGTAACGTTAGGATGTAATGTAATAATAACGTTATTCAATCTTTTTCGTTTTTCTATCTTTATGTGATTCCGAATTTAATATTCCATAACTCCCTGAGCTGATTTTTATCGTCAAATCAGTCAAGGGTACAGCGCTAATGCTAGCTGCCACTGCAAAATACAATAGTCCGCAAACTCATACAAGTGCTCACATTACTTTGACAACTTTTCTTTGTTGATTCATACGTAAGAGGATTTATCTTTTATTTCGGTTCAGTTCATAACAAACAGGAGTCCGCAAGTTCGAAAGTTGGAAAAATTTTGCCAGTTTTGGATTTTAGACTCTAAGTTAAAATTATTTATTTCAAACTATAGCGGGCCAACGTAGCATGCATGAGTTAAAAATTAATAAAGTTAAAAAAAATTAGATTACCACATTATATGAAAAACCGTTTTAAAACGAGATATATCGTACTCGATTTTCTGGAACAGTACGGAGGAGTTCTAAATTTTCTTGCTTTGAAATTTTCTTGCTATTTCGTTTTTATAAAATTTCGATTAATGTTAAACGTATTTTGTTGCAAAGCTTTAGCAACAAGATGACATACTTATTTCCATACATATAGTTATTTCCTCTGCAAAATAAGTGCACGTTTTTAATTTCAGTTATGGGCGGGCCAATACCAATGTTGTTTTTCTCAAGCACATTGTTTTTCTAACATAACATGCTTCAGTTTAGTTTCCGATAAATGGTAATAGTTATTAATAGATTTAGAAAAACATATAAGAAAAGCAGCGCACGGAGCTCTGCATTAAACACACAGGATTCTGAGCGACATTGCTGTTAATTCGTTCAGCAAAAGACGATGAATTTCATATCGCTTGCTGTGTTCACTTTTGCGCTTGTTTCACACACTTTGGCTGATAAAGAAGACAAGCCTGCCGACCAGCCTCATGTAAGTATTAATAATATATAACATTAAAATATATAAACTTGACCGCTATGAACAAGTTTAATTCTAATTCTTCGCAGTTTGAGTGAATTCCCAAGTATTGGACGTCAATCCGAAAAAACAGTTTATTACACAAAGTGATTAAAAAGTAGTTTTAATATTGTTGTCGTTCTTAACTAATTATATTGTGCATGGCAATGCCTTTTAAAATGAAAACAGTTAATAGAATTATATATTGCAAACTTCTCGCGAGCTTCACATAATTTCACACCTTGTTTTGTTGGTCTTTCACAACATGTTTTATTGCCACACAAAGAGCGGAGAAATTTTTTAACAATTTTTCGCACTATTGTTTGACAATCAATAGCTATTGCTAAGAGCAATTTCAGGAGTACAGCATAATTTATAGCTATTGCCTCATAGTCACTGGTTATATAAAGTAATAACGAGCTCATAAAAAATCTACCTCATTGACTTTCAATACCGAAATCAAAGGTTTTGTAAATGTAAATAATACTCGTCCTTATACTTACTCCGGAAGATTAAATCCATCAATTCTGTTTAGTGTCAAATCTTAGCTCATGGTAGAAGCCGTAGCTGAAGTTTGTCATATTTCTGGATCACGACATCAACAGCAATTGAACGAATATAGCGATTGGTGGATTCTGTTGAGCTTCTGTGGCATTTAAATGCGCAATCATTCATGTTAACCGCCTGTGTATTTTCACGTGTAATAATTACTGTTTTAGAACTTTCTTAAAGTTATTTGATGAAGTAAACACGAATAGTTGCGCTAAACGACCCTTTCAACTTGCCCTGATCGATTTTAATGGCTTGCCGGTAAATAAAAATTCGTGGAAAACGCGTGAAGGCCACGAGAGCCTCCTTGTATGAAGAAAATGGCGTGTATTCTTTGTTCCGAAATGCGTCAATTTTTATGAATTTTTTTAGGGACCAGACGTGCGAGCAAAAAGAGGACGACCGCCAAGCCCTTGTCCCCCTGGCTATCCCGGATGCCACAAACCATTACGCCCAAAAGGGCAATGCTGTGGTGTCCCTTGCGTTCCTGGTGTTCCAGGTGTACCTGGGCGAGCTGGCATGGACGGCCACCCTGGCCCTATTGGTGTGCCTGGGGCAATTGGAGCACCAGGTCAACAAGGTGAGAAAGGTGATCGTGGTGTTTCCGCGACATCCAACTGGAAACAATGTACTTGGAATGCTGAAGATGGAAAAGATAATGGACTAATTCGTGTAAGCTTTTATCCCCTTTCACTCTTTGAAATTAGTTAAGGAAATGGTATAAAATCATATTTGTTTACTTCAATAGTGTTAGTATTGCTTTACTATTTTGGAAAAGTAGAATTTTTAGAAGATCGATATTCCTACGGACACCTTATGATCATTAGTTTACGCATATACAACTGTTTCACTATTGATGGTGTTTCCAAACAATGTTAAGTCAGAATAAATTATGATAATGATATTTCTTTCCTACGCTTTTAAAAAGCCTACGCTTTTAAAAAGCTCGCCAAGCTTCCTCTAGCTTTTTGACTGTTTACCAGAGCTGCTCGGTTATAATTTTAGTTAGGATGCTTGTATTATCAATCGCGCAAAAAGCCTTACATGTTAGTGTCCAACTCAACTGTAAAGAATTATATATTCCGCCTATTATGCTTTTAGGATTGTACGTTTGTAAAAAAACGAGACGACTCTTATCTTCGTGTTTTCTACGCTGGAAATCTTCGCATCTACAACTGTAATGAATGTTGCAAGCGGTGGTATTTCACATTTAATGGCGCTGAATGCAATGTTCCTATTGAAGGTGTTTATTATATGTGGAAAGGATTAAACACTCAAAACCTTCTCCGTCATCGACATATTGAAGGTTATTGTGGCAATATTCGTCAAGGCAATATCCGTGTTGGATTTAATGTTGGTAATTGCAATAAATATGGAAACGCTGACGCGTATTCCGGCTGGAATTCTGTCTCGCGTATTGTGATTGAAGAAGTACCACCTCCACAACAATAGATTAATTACTACCTGCTTTTACACTTATTGCTTTATATCAGAATTTGAATAATCACATATTAATTCAATAATATACTAAGTAAGTGAAAAACGAAACGGCGTAATTCTTTAATTAATTCTAATGAACGCATGTATAAAAAAAAACATACTCCGTAATTCTTTAATTAATTCTAATGAACGCATGTATAAAAAAAAACATACTCCGAAAAAATTGCATTTTGTAAACTCAAGATATGAGCTATAGACATGGGCGAATCGAGGAAATCGCCTGACCGGTGCGTAATCTTAGGTCTCGCATGAAAAGGGAGGTCATATGGTATTCTCCCCCGGGAAATTTTAAAATCTAGCAAATGCGATTTCCAGCGTTTTAAATGAATAGTTTGAAAAAAATATATAAAAAAATGAAGAAAAAACACTTGTTATTTCACACAAACAATCAACCATACTTGGACAAACAGCATGCTCATATCTGGACTTCATCATCACCGATTTTACCAACAACCACGAATCACGAGTTCACGTTACACAATCTCGACTCCAAGACCAGAAGTTAAACATGCGAGCACATCGTTCGAAGACCTGCTAGCGGGTTAGAAACGTGCTTTTCCTAGTTGTGCTTGGAGCCTGATGAAACAACCGCAGTTTTGAACGAAAAACAAACGAAAGGGACTTGACCAGAAAGGCAATGACAAGCATTTATTCTGGCCATGGCATACCATGCACACATATTCACGTTGCACCCAGGTTTTTGCTAAATAAGCAAACAAATACATTCGTACTATATTAAAATTATTATAATTTTCAAACCATAATAATTTACATTCCACAATTGCCATTACAGATTCACATCCACTGTTAGAAATAAAAAAATATTCAAACTTGCAACAACATTGCCAATCATCTCATTTTCAAAAGGCACCCTCCAACACCCCCACAATAAAGGCATGGTCATCTCCACAGGGCACAGGATCCAAATACCTGCAACAACATTTAAAATAACATTTTTTACTAAAACAATGGATAAAACTCCTGAGGCTGTAAGGTCTCTCCAATACTGGTAATGTCTCTCCATGAATAGAAAAGATCTTCTTTGCCACAAAGTAATTTGGAACAAGCTCTGTATAGACAATTTCCATCGCCTTTTGTTGTAGATGGATAAAAATGCATTATATATATGATACACCATCGTCAATTCTTAGGATTATGGCTATTTAATGAACATGCACAATTTAAATTATCTGCAATATTTTTTTACACATAGTTTGAACATAAACCTTCAACAGTAAAGGATGATAATTATGATATTGTTTTAAAGACATAAGTTTATTAATATAATTTAATAATAACTTAAGAAGCATAAGTTTTTCGATTAATGGTCATTTATATACGGTACGGTCCTTGACATTAAATTTATAATCACTGTGAACTATGGACAAGTCGATTATTGTCAATATTGCTACAACCTCAATATCGGACAGTTTATTGTGTTGAAGCAAAGAGCAAAGATTGCACTTCATTTGCATCGACATTTGATTATCTTTACATGCCGCCATGATACAGCGTGGTTATCAGGCAATGAACAAAGTAGACGTCACAGTGGCTAAAATGCATCCGTGCGTGTGCGAAGGTCTCAAATTTTTGGCGAGATACACATTTCACTGTTTTAAAAACCATACTTATTTTGCAGGCTCTTAAAATTAATATTTTTAAAGCGTACCATTTAGAGTGTAAAAATTGCGCAATATTACTCCAATTCCTGATGGAGTCCGGGCATGTAGACACATAATTATAATGCCGAAGTCTGACTAAGCATTGGGAGCATAAAAAATCAAAATATTATGCAAAACACAAGCTCCATTCAGTGGTTTGATATCATAAATGATTTAGTTTGTCGTTCTATTTTCGTAAGCACAACAATAAGAGTATATAATTATTACGGTTATTAGAACTAGGGAAATTCAAAATAATCGATCATGCATTAAAACTAAGTTTAACAGTTCTACAGATTATTAAAAAAAAATTAACTAAACTCCCTAATTGTTCGAGTTTCATTCCGACAAAGTAGTGTCATTATTTGATGTGATGGATGCAGTCCTCCAACTTCGGCTGCCACGAGTTCTATAAGCAAAGCAAACGCGATCTTTCGTTGCAACCAGCTAATTAAATAATCTAACAACAATATTCAATAATTAATCTACAACAATTAATCTACGTGGCGCTCTGCATGTCCCGCATGCGCACGTCCAGTGTGAACGTGTAACATGAGTTCGGTTGACAACAGCAAAAGGTTTACTAAAGAATTCGTAGTAGATTTATATTGATTGAAAATGGACTTAGCGCATATTTTTGAATGTTTAATGTTTAAATATATAATTTTGATCAGATAATAATCCAAGACTCATAATAATGAGGCATTCAGCAGATTTTCAGTTTGATAACTCCATATATCTATTCTTCGTCCACTTTCTGGTTAGCATCACACTGACAACAGGTTTTGCGATGGAAATTCCTGCGCAAATGTTGGCATTTGGCCCATTTCCCAGTATTTCGAGCGCAGGTGTTTTTTGAGCCACAGCACTGAATGGGGGGAGCACGAATCATTAATGGTAAAAATTTTAACCGAGATTTAATCTGCGAGTATTCTTATCATTCTAAAGTAAATCGATACTCATGGTTATTAGCTTTAGGGGTATTTACTCTGTCAATTTGGGACTTCCGGTAGTAGCTCTAACCATTATATGGATCAACCTTTTCACGTACATTTCTTCCAAAATGGGAAATTGGAAAAATACTAACAAATTTCAGCCTAAATTAAGCTGCAACTTTCGCAACACAAGCCTTATAGATCCAATAAAAAATACAAGTATGTGTATATTTGACATTTGACAGGCCAGGGTCGGCATTCTGTCTAAATACTTTATAAAAAGAGTTGCGTTGTGGAATAGCATGTTTACATTGTCTGGCATGTAATGTTTTGGCCAAATGGTACAGAAAATGATAACTCTTAGAGTTTCGTTATCGGCATGTTTGCTGCGAATTTTTACCAAAGTAATCAGGCGAAAAGTTCAAGTTGTACTTTATACAGGGTGAGTAAAAAAATGACACATTTGAAAGTCAAATGCATGTGCGCAAGTGATGCTAGCTGTTTTAAATTCCCAGGAGAAAACAACATTTATATAGTGACCCCACTTTGAAAATTATTCCTATCAAATGTGATGATGGCAACTGCCTTCAAAGAACGGAAATTAATTTATTGCATAAATTGCTGCCTTTTTTGCCTTACATTTTATTAGTTCCGTCTAGTGCAGTATTGATTGGTAGCAAATATATGTGATATTAAATGGTATAGCGCTCGACAATTGTTTCATGGTTGTATATGGCTGCGTTTATTATATTCTCAATTCAATTTAGATCCTGCAAAAATCCCTATTCAATACTACTCCTATTATATGTTTTTTCAAATATCTGCACTATTTAGAAAGTGACAAAGGTCGTTTCAGCACTAATACAAATAATTTTATATGAGTGTGATTATAAATACACGCGGTGAATAAAAGGCGAATGCTCAAAATTTCTCAAGTCTTCCACCTTCTTCTTATACATAAAGCTCTGAAAAATAGGTTCCAAAGAATTTGAAGAATAGCTGGAGAAATATTTTTATCTAATTTAGCAATATTCTAACGTTTGGTAGTTGCCACGTAAGCTTTATTAACGCCGTGTTTATCTTTAGCTAACTTAATGTCAGTTTACTAAGGACGTACCGCATGACAAAAAACAGTAAATATTTTAAAATCGGATTATGCAATGAGGTAAGCCACTGTATGTAACTCGTCTCTATTTAATTTCTTGAGGTAAAAAAGTTCATCAATTCAAAGTGTAACATTGTTAGTTTAGGGTCTTTTTCAGTAGGAATCGTACAAACGTATATTTTAGATTTTTTCTATTCCACAATGAACACTGTAACCTCGATCATCGTTTCATCAAATGGAAGGCTGGTCAAAATGTAAACAATTCCATTTAGTCGTAATTGTCGTAAACATGCAAGTCATTTTTACCGATTAAAAATCGATTACTTGTCGGTCAAAAGTTTAGGCATTGCTATCAATATCTTAAAAAGAACGACAACGGCAAATCAATGCAACACAGACACGGTAAGGCATAATTCAGCTAGGAAGTAAATCACCTTTCCTTTCCCAATCAGTATACAGCTGTATATTACATTGCTAACTAGATAAATAATGGCAGATAAACCGAAAAAGTAACTCATGCAACAAGGGATACAGGATGGCTAGGAAAAACAGTTATCATTGGGGCAGACAGCAAAAGCAGAGGACCAACAAAAGCCTGCCAAGCAAACGCAACCGGAAATGACTGCTCCTGACTTACTTCTAATTCAAGTATGTTTTTGTTGTGTATCAGACACATTGAAATGGGAATGGATTTCGCGACCGTATTAAAGCGACACATTAACGTGTGTCACTTTAATCCACACAGATATGGAAAGGACTAGACTGGGTTGCGAATTTGTCCTAATAGCTCAGTTAGAAGAGAATTGACTCAGCTATTTATCAACTGCAGATATAAAAAAATGCAGATTATAAAAAATAATTGAGTTTGCATATTCGTGTGAATTTACTTTAAGTGTTTATGTCTAGTGGGTTGTTTCTGTGGTGTTTCTCTGCATTATTGTTCTTCTGAGAGTTTGAGTGACTTCCGTTTTAGCTTCTTTCTTTCACGGTGATTACAAAAAGATGACTCTAGCCTTCTGCGCAGAAGCTTTGTCGTCGTGTTCAAAGGATTCTGAAGCCAAAATGAAGACCGTGTTTTTCCTGTTGATGCTCCTGATGGAGATTTCATACATTTTTGTCAATGGAGTATGTATATTTTGGAGCTATATTTTCTTTATTTCAAGACGGAATTAAGGAGCTCTCGTTTCGTGATTTCTTTAATAATATCTCCTTTAAATAGGGACGTTCTATAGGGACGTTTAATAATTTTACTTTTATACAGGGAAGCTAGTTCTTTGTCGAAATAGCGCATCATGCGATTATTTTCGAATAATAGAGAACTGCATTATCGTGAAACGATGTTTCTAGCCTCATGTATTTTCTAGAAATTCAAAGTACACAAAGGAAACAATCCTGGGTTGTGCTCGAAGAAAAATAGTAGAGAGATGATCTTAGTGCGAGATCGAGAAAACAAATATAAGTTACTGATCTGTACCAACGACAACGGTATTTATGGATGGCGAACATTGGACGGTAAGATTGAAAATTTTGTTAGTATCAGCCTAAAAAATATCACAAAAGTTAATACGAAATATATCCGTGCTTTCATGAAGTTAAATTTTTGCGTGCACTAACTTCTATTCGTACTTGATTAATCACTACCGTGTGTTATCCATTGCATGTGATTAGTTTTCACGTTGAGCATGCAGTTTGGCGAAAACCACGTGCTGCTGACGGTTGACAACTATAGTAGCTTGCTCAGTTATGGGTAACTGGTGTAGTATGTGGTAACTGAGGTTTGATTTGTCCTGTATATCATATTACTATTAGGTAGCTTGTTTCACCCCATTAAAAGATTGGTTCTCTAGACATAGTTCATATCGCTAATTGTATCCATGGGGAGGGGGGAAGTGCTACACCTCTAACGTTGGTATAGTGCGTATGCTATAACAATATAAGACTAGTTTCTACGTCGAGTTTCGCCTGGGTAATTATTATTACATGGTTTCATTGTTGATCGCCTTACATTAACGATTTTTGTAGCGAATGTTTTTATGGCTAGTGTGTTTACGATTGCGACAAGTTAGTGCATGAGGTTAAATTAAACAGACAAAAATTTTAAATCATTCACTGCCAATTATTGATCTATATAGCCTGGAGTTTGTATGGCACATTTTGTGGTAATTGTAAATAATGAAATAGTTCTTTGACCCATCCGCGAAATAAAAAAAACTTCAAATGGTTGATGACCTTGGAAGGCTTTGGAGACCTTGAGCAATTTGCAAAAGGCATTATTCATTTGCGTATTAGTATTCATATTTGGAATGTTCTGAGTGGATCTACTTAAAAAAAATATGTATTTATGTACATATGTATATATAGTGTGGAGTGTCATGTATAGTTGAGAATAACAATAGTAACCGATAATATGCCAGAAGCCTATAGAAATAATTGAATGTTATTGAAATTAGAGAAACTTTTATACAACTCAGCAGATGAAGTTTCAAGTGAATTTCACACTCCCGTAAAGCATAAATGACCAATTAGAACAATATCTTCTCTTAGCTTCCAACCTTGCGATCAATTTTAAAATTTGAAGCGATGAGAAGCAACTCTTGTAGCTATAGCATATGGATTTACTTCCGGAAATAGTTTATTCTCTTAACATACTATGAAATTAAAATCTTTCTTCAGGTAGTTTTTTCCTTAAACATAGCAGCATATAGTTCAGGGACCGGTGTTTAACTTAAAAGGCGGATAAGTTCAAAATGAAAAACAAAAATAATGATCTCTTTATTGAACAAATGAGCTAAAATATTTCGATGTAAATAGCTTAAATTTTAACATATTTAATGCATATAAAACAGGTTCAGTCATTCACAATATATATGACAGTATTTTTAAACTTTGGCTTATTACCGTTCAAGCTAAATGCCTTTCGAACAGCCGACCCCAGGAGTTAGAGAAAAAGTTCCTAATTCCGGTGTTATGTACTCCATGTTTATAGCCAGAGTCACGTGTTTTCAACAATACAAAAACCAACAACAAATTTATTGTACCTATAAATGTGGCATAATTGAAATATTACAATAAAATTAGCGAAGTGACAAAATTAATTATAGTACTGACTTCCCGAAATAGCCAGAAAAAGCTAAAATTGCTAGGAAGCTAATTTATTCTTACAGTAAATGGTTAGATTCTCATGATCAGTAATCTAATTGAAATTTCCTGTTTTGTTTAGTTTTGTATTAGTTTTGGCATGATTCAATAGTATGAATGTTTAAAACAGGGTCAAGTCCTCCAGGTGAATTCTTCAGCCCAGGATACGATTGTACTAGTATATTAAACAAAGATCCTAAAGCTAAAGATGGATTTTATTGGATCACACTCGGATACAAGATGCCAAGAAAAGTAATATCATCTACTTCATCTTGATAATTTATGTCGTAAAATGAGCTAATGTGCAATCTGATTGGATCTGTACTAGACATATATTATCTCATATCTGTGTAGTAGAGAAACGTAAACAAAATGTCAGAAAGATTTAAGGAGTTGAAATTGAAGTTTTCCTTGATAAAAGCACGCCAGAGTGCACCAAAGGTCGTCAAAATATAGATTTACAAAATATACAGTTTTGTTTCCGTTTTTTCTGAATTAAAACGTTCGAAAAAACACGATACAGGATTTAACATTTAATGATTAAATTTTCCTAAAAAAGTGTATCATACTATTGTTCAAATTACGACCGATAACAATTTGTGTTCAATCAAGGTTTATTGCGATATGACAACTGATGGAGGAGGGTTCTTTTTGGTCGGTCACAAAAATACATCAATCACATGGACAGTACCGTCGAACAACAAGCCCGTAGAGCCTTTCGGCGATCCTCATTGGTCAAGCTCGTTGGGAAATGCACGGATCATTGATTTTCGAATTCAAATAGCAAGTGCAGAAAATTTTAAAACAACAAAGGCACATTGGTATGCTTCCTAGAAATCATTAAAAAGTGGCGTATATATATATATATAATATTATATATATAATATATATATATATATAGATGAAATTAAGTCTTAAAATGAATTTATTTAGCTATCGCTACTCTGAGTTTCACGATTATCTCGATCTTCAGGCGATTAAATTCAGTATATATATATATATATATATATATATATATATATATATATATATATATATATATATATATGTATATCGGGTTGAATACATGCAACCCTGAATTCCTGTCTATATATCTAACGTGATTTCTCATAAAATAAAACACACTTTTGAAGGGGAGAAAAAACCTTCTCTGCTCTTGTCATTCTTTTTAATTAATATACAAAATGACTAATCGATCGAACGAAAATGACGATCAAACGAAAAATTCTGCCCTGTGGAAAACCGATTTAAGAGCTCCTTTTCACTGTCGCGTTTTTCATACGCACGTACATGCACGCTTGCACGAATGGGTCTGAATCCTTATAAATTATATGTCGTACTTGAAGAAGCTGGGCAAATAAATCGAAAGAGCTTAGTTTTCCACTTAATACACACTTGTTGACCCATTCGTTAAATAATAACAATTTGGAGGCATTTCAAATTTTCCATGCGTAAAAAAACGCGTAAGTGGAAAGCAGCCTTATATCCTGGAAAATTCCCAAATTTCTAAGCGTTTTTTAACATGCACATTAATTAGCCTTAAATTCATACGATTATATATCCCTCCGCTCATACGGATAGAGATTTGTCGTAGCTATATCAACTTGTGGCAACCTCATACCCAGGGCATTTTGCCTCCAATTTGTCTACGAAAAAGCCCTTAATTGGCATCGACTGGTCACGTGAGACTCTGAATTTAAGGGGGTTGTGTTATGAATTTGGAAGAACGTCCAGGCTTCGGCTCATTCCAGATAATGGACGATTTATGTAAATCATTAATATGTTTTTTATCGGAGCAAATAAATTATCACTTCAAACACTCTCAAAATCAGGGTGTCACGTGACCAGCCGATTTCAGGGCCTTTTTCGCCGACGTCCCAATGTAGAAGCAAATTGCCCTGTGTACGAGGTTGAACTTTTAGCATTTCAATCTTTCAAACAATTAAATTGTTTTTGAAAAATTGAAGGTATTACCGACTTCGGAATCCTCGAGCATTAAAACACCTAATGATCATCAATAAGGGAGGCTGTGGGAAATCATCGCCCGGAATAGGTGATGTTAAGTTTGTGAAAGATTTGATGACGGACAACATCGTCACTACTCAATTTCGCTGTTCGAAATTTGGAGTAGCTCATAGTCAAAGAGCAAAGTTTGGATGGGTAAGCATATACAAATGTTCGGAATTTTAGGGTAGAAAAAATTGCCTAGCTAGTTGCACATGCATGAAAAATCCCTTATATATTCAACAATGAAAGATTATTGTGAAACGCCGATCAGATTATTGCATGTGAGACGAATATTCACACATTCCTCAAATTTCAGGCCAAGATGAACGACTGCCTGGAAAGACCATGCCGCTGGGGATTTGCTTTTCATCATAAATATCCTATTCAAACTGATTTTTCTGGTGCATTCAGGTAGTTACGTTTAATATATACTGCATGATGTTGGTTTTTTAAACTTTCATTAGTAAAGCTATACATTAATGGTATACATAATATGTAATTTGTTAAGTTATTAGTTTGTTTTTCATTAAAAAATTCCAATTAAAAAATTGTTCATTAAAAAATTCCAATTGCACATCATTGCATCGTTTCCATAGTGACATATCCCAAGTAAACAAATTATAACTCAATACGCTCTAACTCTCCTGATGATCCAAGGCCGCCTTGGTCGAAACGTCGAGAAGCATTTTTATTCGGTTGTACTACATTTGATGTGAAAGTGCATTTTATATGTAAACATTGTAGCCTATGAAATTGTAATCTAGCTCCAATGCAATGGACTTCAATAAAATTACAAAAAAGTTGATTAATTATAACCAAATTCAGATACGGGTGATTCGTACATGATCAACCAATTATTGTTGATTGAAATTTAAGAGCTGCAGATTATATCTACTATGGACTACGAACTGTCATAACAATTTATAATCTATTTAATACAGTTATAGCACAAAGAATGCCATTTCTGGAATAGATTTCGGATCAACTGCATTTATTGGCTGTGACAATGGCAAGGTTTGGAAAAGAAATTAAATATTCTGAATTTTACATCTGGATTAGGAAATTGTAGCTACTTTATCCTATATATTGTATATGTTTGTAACAAACTTAAGATAATATCATAGCTAGATTAGGTTAAACTTGAAATGACCGGAAAACACGCAGTGTTTAACAAGCTCATTAAATTATGCCACATAATAAAATTAATGTTAAAGCATGATTATGCATAGCAATTACAAAACTTGCCACAGGGTGAAGGGAGATTACAAACAGTCGCCTTTGCAAATTAAGACCTTAAACTGTTTAAACAAGTTATCCTTACATTTTTGGCCTGAATATGCATGGTTACAATTTCCGTGTGTAGTAAAAAAGTATACACATTTTTTCCGCATTCTATACAACATTTCGCAACCAAATTTTGCACTTCTACTAATTTTACCACGCTTTTTCAGCAGTGGTATTTTAATTGCATTTTCAAGCATACATAAGAAGGTAGTCTATAATGCAAAAGGTCAATTGCCACAAAATCTAAATTTATTATATCCCTCAGGATTATATCCCTGTATTGGCAGCTATTTCTGTAGCTTAAAAGCGGTTCACATAAACCCGGTTACCCGAGATTTAGGTATTAAAATTTAGATATTGAAACAGAATTAAAGAAGCATACCATTGTAGGAATGACTGCACAACTGCCTGGAAAAGTGCTATTTACTCATTTCAATATCTTGTAGTCATTCGCTAAATTTCGGCTAAGCGGGATCATGCAAACAGCCAGTAGGTGTAGGTTGGATTGTGTACGATTTTCAATCGAAATGAACACCCTTAAAAGCGCTGTAGAAAAACTATCCTAAATCGCCTGAAGTGTCACAAAATTTTGAATTGATTTACCCTCACCTATTTAAAATTTCAATTACAATTCATTCGCCCTAAGCCCTGTATTTTAAGTAAATATTCTCTTTAATTTTTCTTATAAACACCATTTCGCCTTTATTCGCCTTTAATTAATATTCAAATATGTTGTATTATGGCAATTTAAGTGTTGCGGATGCTATGGTCCTAAGAATGGGAAAAATAATTACTGCTTCAAAGAATGTTCGTCACAAAATGGTGGGACGATTAAAAAGGATGTATACACTTGGTTTTGGGTTAGATCATCTCTTCCAAAGAGGATGTGGAGCAAATGCATGGAGTATAAAGTCACTGAAAATGGCGCTCCAGTATGGTACAAACTCGTTGGTGCAAATGTGTTGCCAAAGAAGGTTTGCTGGACTTTGTAAATAGGCATGCATTTAAAAAAATTTGTCCGGTGGGCAATTGTTTAAAACGAATGATTTATACTAAAACAAATAAATTTATTACAATATAATTATTGGGAAGGTTCTCGGGATTAGTAATATTTATAAACGTAACGGTTCTCTGTAATTATACCAGTTTTCCCATTTGATTGGACGTCCTTTAGACATATGTAGGCTACATATACCACACGATACCCAATGCAATTTTTGACTCGTGCATGCATGATTAGTATTTACGAGATCTGAATACAACAAAATTAATATGCTTTTATTTAGGGTCGTTGTGGTAAAGACAAGCCTCTTTTCTATGACGGGGTACGTGAGTAAAATAAAACCGTTTTGAATTCAAAATCTCTTTAATATTTTTGATACAATTTCTTTAACAATTTTATTGAGGCAGCCAGAAACTACAAATTTCTATAGCTGCTCGTCGTAAGAATTATTGTTACTAGAGAGGTCGAAAACTGAATTTGACTTGGAGAAAAAAAAATTAAAAAGCTCTCATTGGGAAATCATACAGTACTGCATGTAGTTATCAATCAAGTTATTGCACCAGAACTCCGCCACACATATTTTTAACCTGGGATTTAAATCGACTTAAATGGGCTCGTTTTAGATGCTGGTTGTGCCTGATAATAAAACTGCCAAAGAGATTCCGAAGATCGAAGGGATCATGGTTTATCGCAAAGACAACAAGAAGATTTACGTTCAGAGTGACAAAAAACTGCATGCATTAGCTGAGGAGAATAAGGTAGGTATAATATATTGGTATTATAATTAATGTGGGTAATACGTTTGTATTTTAATATAATTTTAGAAGAATAAGGTGTAATATATTTGCGATAAAATACTAATTATATAATATAATAAAATTAAAACTTACAATATCTCAATAGTATAATATAATAAAAGAACAACGCATAATTAATACTGATGGTATTATAATATACAGGAGAATACAACTTAGCATCAAATGTGGTATAACAACTATCTAAAATAGACAAAACACTTCTCGAGGTTTCGACCTGAGGGCCTTCGTCATACTAACTCTCCTGCATGACGAAGGCCCTCAGGTAAACGTAGAGAAGTTTTTTGTCTATTTTAGGCAGTTGTTATTCCACATTTGATGCTAATTAAGTTGCTTGAAGACGCCGCCACGCTGCTCCCTGGTTATATAGGAGAATAGTACAAAATGTACACTATAATTATTATAATATATATAAGAATAAGGTATAATATAAGACAATTATAAGGTATTGACTGAATCAGTAGAATGATATGAACGCAAGAATATACATCAACTGAGAATTAGCGGTGGAAATTCCTGATAATCACCAATTCAAATAAAAGCTTAGGATACCAGAGTGACATTTAATGCACACACAGTCATGCATTTTTGTAAAATTGATCTGGTAATTAAGGCAATTTCGATTAACGATTGAAAAGCAGTTCATCACTTCAGAATAGCACTAGCTGACTAGCGCTCTATGTATTAATCCGCCTACTTATAAAAAGCTAGTGTATGTTAATATTTTTCGCAAGTGCAATTACCTCTATACGTTTTCATTTTCCATGTTTCAGGTTTCGTTGTTTATTCACACGATCGCAACAAACTTTGCCATCAATTGCAAGTTTCCTGCCTTACCAATATTAGAATGCTCTTTCTAGCTGCACTGTGTACTGATGAGTTATAATAATATACGGAGTGCGTTGGTTGATTCGAACCCTAAATCACAAATTAGTTAGCTCGAAGTTCTTATTATTGCTTTCATAGATGCCCACTCCAAACTGGAAACAATGCACATGGAAAGCTAACGATGGTAGAGACAATGGACTTATTCGTGTAAGATATTGTTTTACTTTGCTATACAGGGTGTCCCAAAAAAAAGAAAACTATTGAAATCACCTATAACAATGCCATTGTTAGAGTTTGAATGCCCAAGCACTCTGTTGGGCCCACAAGTGTATAAATCGGGGTTGCCATAAGCATTTTTTATGCATGCATATGATGCAGTCAAATTTGCTTGTTCGCAAAAATTATATTTATCAACAATATTTACAATTTACAAATATGGATAACATTATTTAATGTGCATCTCAAGGACCATGACTTTCGATATGTCCCCTTTCTCTAACAACACAAAGCATTTAGCATTTTATAAGTTGCATTAAATCCCCACGGGCGGAAATTCGTGAGCACGGCATTCAAATTTCAACAATGAGTGATTTCAATAGTTTTCGTTTTTTTTGGGACACCCTGTATAATACAGGGTGAGTCAAAAAAACTGACACTTTTGAAATTCAAACTAGCTGCAATGTGTCTGTAATCGGCTGTAATGAGACAGAAGTTGCCTAAAATATCTTATGGGTATACGAAGCATATCAAATAAGTTAATCCATTAATTAAGTAGAACATAAAGTTTGTTCCCTTTAGGAGTTAAAATGCATTCTAAGCTCTGTAATAAAAAAGAACGTGGAATTGGTTCAATTGGTTTAAACACTTTCGCATTCTTTAACCACGTCTTGTTGATTGTACACAATGGGAATTGTCAAATTCCAGCCATAAGTTCGCGGCTAATTTGAATTTCAAAGGTGTCAGTTTTTTTTGACTCACCCTGTATGTAAGATTGTTTGCACACATGCATGGGAGAATAATATTATATTTTCGTGAGTTAAATGTGGCTATACATTTGGATAATATTTTCGTATACATACATCTACATTAATTTGACGAAGTATGGCTATGTTTAATGACTTACTCATGGAATTTTTAAGGACTGTGTTTAGTGATTTCTTTGGGTCTAATATTCCTGTATTTTGAACACACAAGCATTTATTCCATGGCAAAACAAATAGGGACAAAAGACAGATCCCCAAAGTGTAAAAAGTTTTTTTATCGCTGGGCTGCTTGCGAATGCACCTTAATGCTCATTGAATATAAGGTGGAAAGCACAGGGCGCCACTCCACCTGAACGATTGAGCTCCTATTGTTGAATATATATATTTTTTGCACAAAATGTTCACATAACTTCGGCTCTTATATATTTCAGACATGTACATTTGTGAAGAAACGCAGCGACACATATCTTCGTGTTTTTTACGAGGGAAATCTTCGTATTTACAATTGTAATTCTTGCTGCAAGCGATGGTATTTCACGTTTGGGGGCGCTGAATGCAATGTTCCTATTGAAGGTATTTATTATATGTGGAGAGGTGTGAACCATAAAAACCTTCACCGTCATCGACATATTGAAGGTTATTGTGGCAATATTCGCAAAGGCAATATCCGTGTTGGATTCAATGTTGGCAATTGCAAAGGATATGGAAACGCTGACGCGTATTCCGGCTGGAATTCTGTCTCGCGTATTGTGATTGAAGAAGTACCACCTTCACAGTAGTTGAAATGTGACTTAAATAATCTTGCAAATCACTAATGCTATTCCTCAAATATGATTATTAATATGATTTAGTTGAGTTAGTGCTTTTAGTTTTAGCATGGAGGACAATGAAGGAATGCAATAATAAAATTTGAAATAAAATTTTTATCATACCGAAACGATTGTATTTTGTATAAATACATTTTGTTGACGGTTAGATATTTTTATAGAAACATGGGTTTAGATAATTATTGTCTAAGTCAGTGCTGTACGTTTCTGATAATATGCCGAGGTCAAAGGAAATGCACGACAACTCGATACATGAAGAAATTTCGTGCGCTAGTGCGAGTGCAGTTATCGGGCAGATATTCCAACAGTACATCCTTGTGAGGAACTTGTAATCATGCAGGAAGCCTGAATTGGAATGCATAGATTTCGCGAATGGACGTCCTCATGCAATGCCGGTAAAAGGATTATTATACATGCACATGCTGACGATAGCATTCGTACTGACAGTCTATTTTCTAAGATGCAGCAAAGCTAAGCGTATCATGAGCGACGTCATTTCTACACAGCATGAGGAATTAATATTTATAATGTTATAGCCTACGTGGAGTTAAGTACGAAAATGTTCTTTTAAAGCCCTGAAGAACGCCCTTGTGCAAGAAACACACTTTTTTTCACACTGAGCCAAAATATTAGCATGCTGTACTGTACAGTTTAAAGCAAAATGGTGGATGTGTTGGCCGACACCGTTGTGATCGACATCCGTTGGATCCTCGTTTTTAAAGAATTTCCTAAAAAATAAGCTTTCTTAATAAACAAATTTTTTTATTATCTCAGTTATACTCTCAATGAGAAAGCTTTGCTATGGTGTGAACTTTCGAATTTCGATCCTTCCGCCCGAAAGTATAAACCTTATAGGAATTCCAATGACGATTCGATATGCATTAACAAACATTCCAAGCACCCACCATACATCATAAACAATTACTGACGAGCAATAATTTAATGATGCGCGCAGCACCTACTTACCAAAGGCATTACCTGTTATAGACAGAAGTTAGACTACATCAAACGTGCACCACAGCCACAAACAGGCAGTCGCAGGAGCAACCCTCCTTTATAAGTAATAAGTATATAATAAGAGTATGACGACCAATGTTGGCTGCATGCTGCTTCCTAAACCTGCTAGACAAAGTTAAACACTTCCCACATAGCTATGCACAAGCAGCATAAGATCTTTAAAGGGAATAAGTTAAGGTAAGCTACATTTGTATGGAACGTGAAGTCCGTAGTTACCAATTAGAAACATAATTAGAAACAATCGGTCACACTTTATTAGTGCCCCCTAAGAACATAGTATACAGAAAAATAATTAGTTTCCATTGTTTGAACGCCCATCCAGCCTCGTTTCGACCAAAACTACTGAAGTGGCATCTTTTCGCATTTTTCTACCACCTGAAGATTCCTATACGGATGAAACAGACTGTATAATAGACGATTTTTTGTAAGCAATTGTGAGATTCCTCTTCTATAAAAAACGTTTATTATCCAAGTAAAACTCAAGCGCAAAATCTATTTAGTCCTAAGTTACATGGATTTTTGTGCCTGATAGCCAGCAATCCTTTGCAGGCTTAGTCAGTCGTAAATTAATATTAATCAAAACATTACATCTGATTATATAGTTCAAAGCCATATGCCTAATATTACTCAAATTTAAATTGTCAATGCTCTCAAATAATCGTACTGTATTTATCGTTTTCCCGACAATCTAAATAAATTGACACAAATTTAAAATCTTTCTTGGACATATTTTCCTGGTTGATCTCCGCAACGGCGGTGATTCGGTTTATGCCCAGGTGGATCACACTGAATTTGAACAGGCTCCTTCGATATAATCTGACTAGGTTCTCCTAGCTGCGATGATGTCTTATCTTCATTGACAGGTGTGGTTGTACACAAAGATTTTGAAATTTCACTGTGTGTCTGTTTAGGACACTCTTAAACTGGTGGAATAGCAACTGCATCTTTCTCATAGACCAATTGCAAAACTTAGTTACCATGCCTTCGCGCAACATGGAAACGAGGCTTATTGTGTAAAAAACAATATTTCTTTTTTGCAATACAAACCTATTCGCCGAGTTATGTCCTGGTTTTCGCCCTTGTGTTACATATTTTTGGATACTTTTAACTGGAAAATATGCATGGAAAAGGCCGACACAAACTCAGGTAAAAAAATTATTTTTTTCAAAACTGTTTCGTCTAAAGTTTTGAAAATTTATTTCATGCATTCTTCTTCCTCTTCTTTGTACAAAATTTTTATTTGTTTCCATGTTGCGCGAAGGCGCGGTTGCTAAGTTTCGCAATTGGTCTAACACTTCCTATTTCTAAAGATAGCTTCTTAAAGAATGATGAGTCGTAACTGTGGTATCTGCATTCTTGGACGTAATCATATTACCTTTCACTCCAACCACAGCCAATGGACCGTTTCTCCAACACCGATTCACCGACCGAAATGTTGTTTGGCTTTACATAACACTTTTTATCACCATGTGGCTTCATGTGGGCCAAGCATTCTTCCTCTCTGCTGTCCATGTGCGGAATTTTGTCGCGGACAGCACGTTTCATTAGAAATACACCTAGAGCAACACCTGTGGTCGGATGTGGGGTTGTCCGATAACTCTTTCCCCAAGTTCTTTGCTTCTGTCTTGGCACCTTTAACATACTTTTTCACTATTCGAAAGAACCTTTCGACGTCACCAATAACCCGAGGCAAAAACAGGGTCACCTTACGATGTTTAAAACCAATAATCTAACCAAACTTGGTGAATTCCTCGCCATTAAATGGTGGCCCGGTAGCCGTCCGCACAAACCGTGCTTTAAAACATTTCGCCCACCAGAATATTATCACAACTTTTATACTTTTTATAACCATACTTAACCATCCCTTTTACCGGGCATTCAACTTTTTGAAATTTAGCATATACAAATTAATTATCTTTAAGACTTCTGGATCTTGTAGCGGCTTAAAACTAAAAAAAATGCCCAGAGTATTTTGCAACTCCCTAGAAATACCACACAATTCTCGCAACGCCGGATGAAAATTGATAACAAAAGTACTATTACTTTGTTTATGCTTAGTAAATCGTTCTTATTAAAGAGTGCTGAGTGACCCAAAAACCTAACTCTGTCAAACTGATTTTGAACAAAGTGACAAAGTCATTAATTTATTATAACCTCACTTTGCAAAAACCTTATATCAATTCTGCTGGTCGCCTCTCCCAAACCCTTCCGAATGTCACATACAGTTTAAGCCCAATACTTGTCCTTTTGAAGGAATTCCCTTCCTCCAGTTCTATTGTTATGAAAAGCCCTGAATACACATCAGTATAAAAACCACAAATAGACCAACCCCAAATATACCTACATTAATAGTTTCATGGGGAGAATTGCCATAAAATTTGAAAGTAAACAATAGAATGACCAATCAATTCGGCTAAAATTGCAAAAATTCAAGAAAATTCAGGATTACCTCTAGTCCAAAGTTTATTGCACATTTCTATATACCCAATATTACACGTGCACAAGATCTTACATGCAGACAACATTATGAACACTGCATTCTTTCATTATTCTAAATATAGCTGGCGTGACGAAGTAAATAAAGACGAGATAATAAGAAGAAAACACACATGAGTTACATGTTTCACTAACTATATAAACATGGGTAGTCCGCTCTCATTGTTTGGTGTTAAGAGTAATCTGTATCGTGTTTAAAAAACCGTAATTGTCCAAGCCAATCAGAGTGGACTATTTGATTTCAAATCGACAACTGAAAATATAAGCGAGAACATTAAATGTTGGACTTATACGCAGCCGTGTATTGTTTTCTTTATTTATGTTTGTACGCATGCTGTCTACATGCGAGAAATATTGTTAATTTTGTGTAAACTAGTACCTTAATACCCATGTTGCAACATCCATACTTCATGACTTATGAAAATCTATGCGATAAATGCTTGATCCGAACAAAACCGTGACCACTAGCAAGATATCCTGCTTTATGGAAGCGATTCTTTCCGCCATTGAAAGATCCTCCTCCTCCACCACATGAACCTTCTTTATTATCACCAGATGCTCCTCCCGAATATCCTCCTCCACCTCCTGCTCCTCCATTCCATCCCCATGCACCACCTCCTCCGCCAAATCCTCCGGGAGCATTATCTCGTACTAATGAGCGACCACCTGCTCCTCCTTGAAGAAATCCTCTTCCCCCTTCTCCACCCTCTCCAAAAGATCCGTCGAAATATGAACCACTATGTCCATTGCTTTGAAATCCACCACCGCCACCACCTTGAAGAAATAATATGATTAAACGACGGGCGTGTAGGGTTTGTTTGAAATATTTCAACGATGCTTCAATATTTCAAATGAAAATTGTAGAAATGCCAATATTTCTGCATCCAAGTACCCTAAAAGATCTTGAGTGCAAGGCAAAAATATAAAGTCGGGCGAAAGTTCTGAATTTAGAATTTCTGTGCTGCCTCCTGGAAGTACGTGATAACTATTTACGCATGCATAAATTCTTGTAAATATATTTTATTGTATCGTCTCTATGTAAAGGGATTGAATGTCAATTGGGACTTAATTTGTCCTCTTTTCATTCCCTGCCACAACTGTCTGTAATACGTGTTGTCCGGTAAATCTATTAAGCTAAACTAAACTCAAGCTTCGAATTACTTTCCGCAACTAGAAATCCATATTGTCGTGTTTCAAATCTCCATTCTGTTAGCCCCCATATATACTGAGGTGAAGCAATCAACACTTTTTTTTCATTTTAAAAAATATATTGATATTTTCTGCTTCAAACTATTATATTTTGTGGTTCACAGCTTTTTACCTGACTTCGAATGGCCTGTCTTTCGAGAACCAGTTCCATTAGAACCACCAGATTGAATTATACATTGACCAATGCACGCGTTTTTATTTCCTGACCTGCTGGTACTTGCATCACAGTTGAGCAACCTGGTTTTAAGGCTTTGTGTACCACCACCCCCTCCAGCAATAATTAATGGGGTGTTCGATGCCGTTGCCACAAACGTTCCTCCACCTCCTCCTGCAGAATATCTCTCTGTATTTTTTACACCTCGTTGTCCAATCAATATTTTTAGCACATCTCCTTTGTTCAGTTGAAATTCTCCTTTTATGTAAGCTCCTCGACCTGGCGTACTGGTTGGTCCAAATATGTCATATCCACCGGCTGCACCAACTGCCGTTATTTCGTATGTACCATCGTAGGGAACTGTCCAGAACTGTGTACCATTTTGGACTGTCACCATTTTCTCATTATCTTTACCAACATAATAAGAACCAAGCGAAGTAGGACCGAAACGTCCTGTCGCTCCAAGATTTGTGAAAGTTGCATTATACGATGGAGTCACTAAGACGTTAAACTATCATTATTTTTGATAAAAACGGCGATGATAAATTCGGGTTGGGCCTTTTTATTACGTCAAATGTACAAAACACAGCTTAGTGAAAGTGTAATTAATTTTACTTTTCATAAAACTGCATGTTTATTCATTTGTTACACACTAGCTAAATAATCAAATCTGTTATTTTATAAATGACAGAACACCAAAGTGTGACAGTTCTCTATTTCATTTCAAAATTTTCCCAAGATATCTTTCTCCTTGCAAGAGGAATTTGGTGAAAAGATGAAGTTGTAATTTTGTGTTCCAAAAAGATAAAGCCGAACCTGAGCAATAAATTTTATTCTTCTGCTGCATTGAATGCTGTCAGATTGTCAATAGTTGCTGAGTTTATCTCATTTTCTCCAGTTAAAATTTATAAGCCGAACCAGGGTATAAATTATGTTCCTAATAAAATGGCATTCAGGTATAATATAAACATGACTTTGATACATTTTTTGAGGGAAAAATTTCGAGTTGTCGATCGTGTAGTTTTGCACTTTGTTTTCATAAGGCAAGATACCACAATGTTTGACTTCAACATTGCCAAAAGCAATGCCTTATATCCGTTGACATTTATCTAAAACAGTAAGCATTTGTGGTCTAGGCAAGAAAATTACGCGCATTCCCTGTACTGGTTGTATTGCAAGATGTATAACTTTTGGGAGCAATCTTAAATACGTTTAAATCTCACCTTCGTCTTTGTTGTGTACTTCCTGCAATTCAAAATAAAGGCTTTAATAAAGGATTTACAGACACTAAAAATTATCTTAGTGTTATGTAACCATTTTAACCAAATAATTTTATATAGTAGCTACAAATAGAGAGGCTAAAATTATATAAAATTTCACTAAAATTATAAGATACACGGTTCCACGTGATTATAGATGCAGGTTGGGATGGTACGATGTACATAAATTGATACCTTTTCCAATTTTTCATAAAAATCGTAATCTTTGTCCAGCAGTAAATTCTGGGGGTGCGTGGTTTCCGTTGCGTTAATTAATTGACAATTCGGTAGATTCGATTGTTGCTTGTTCTCACTGTAGTTGATAGCCTTGCAAACAGGAGACTTTCTGAGACAGTTCAGAGAACATTCCAAGATATTTGCCGTGTGGAGCTCGCCGACTACATGATTGATTAACCGGCAACCTTCAATGAAAAATATTTCATTTTCAGTCATATAGGTTAAAATCGTCAAAATAAATATTTCCTAAGCCTGCTGCAGAAAGTTGTTTTTCAGGCCTGCCGAGACACGAACAGAGTCTTGTATAAAAGTCAGGCAAGATATTGTACAAAATATTCGCTCATTTAATATAATATAACAGAATATAACATATTTCATGCGTCGAAAAGCATGCATACATGTTGATCTTCCTAACGGTTATTTATTATCGTTTGACATTTTATCCCTGAGCCGGTGCGGAGGACCGTGCGAGGGTACTGATTCCGCTCGGATATTTACACCCAGGATGTGCAAAGGCGAAATCAAAGTTGTCCGCCATTATGCAATGGACCTCACGCCATGGACGGTCTTCTACGTTATGCGCATGCGCCAGTGTACTAAGCTCTTAATTGGTCGAGACAAATATTTGTATTTTTAAACATGCATAACTGTCATTTTGCAAAATTTTGAAGAAACTTTTAAATATATTTTCATATTATTTATATTTTCATAAATATGGAATATATATATTTTTTAATTACATCAGAGGGAAACTCGAATCAGTCAAATGTGGTCGGGACTTTTTACGGTTTAACAAAAAAAAACAAGACTAAATTTTCGACCGAATTCACCGTGTATAATGAAATCGGAAGATTTTACACTTGAAAATAAAACCCGGCACAGGTATAAAAAGTCATTCTTTCGTGGTAAACACAACTTTAGTATTCTCAAACGTATTTCACTACAAATCAGAATGGGTAATGTGATAGACGACATTATAATTTCATTTAAAAACTCCATTTTTTCAAAATATTCGCGTGCAAAAACCAGTCGAGGCGTAAACATAAAACTTGGGAAGTCGTATGAGACGTCTGATGTTATATTTCACAGTAATTATTGATTAAAATAATTTACCATAACAGTGACTATAGATGAGTAACTTGACTTCCAGAAAATGGTTAGAATCTTGTCGTATTTTTGCCATTTTTTCACAAAAATATGAGGGTAAACCATTGAACTATATAAGATGGAAGGATAGCTGCTGCCGGAAGTTTGAAGCCAATTTATATCCGGTTAGAACCTAGTACTTCCACGGAAAGTAAACACACGGCCAAATACGGTGGCCAAGGTGCGAAGCTGGAAAACAGCTTTTAAATAGCAATATTTGTTTATTTGATATAATAAAACGGAGAATTTACAACAATAACGACAATATTTGTTAGAGTCACAATGTCTCTAAGTTAGTAACTAAAATGGTTGCAACTTGTGAGGGGTTACGGGTAGATTTTTTGACCGTCCTTTCCTCACCGGTCTGTCAGACAACATCCCGTCGGTAATAATACCTACATGTCATCTACGATGCTTTTTCTCGCCTCACAGCTAAAATTATGCATAAAATAACTAAAACAAGAGTGTAAAAGCAAATAAAATTACCAACTTCTAAGCCATAACAAATATTAAATTTTTCAGTTTTAACAAAAACAGTCTGCAATTGTTTTTAAAAACCCAGAGCGCAATCAAGTACACATCGATGACGTACAAATTTCTACGATAAAGAAAAATACAATTTAGTTTATACACCATTTGGTTTTTAAATAAAAATGCCACTCACATGTGTCATAAATAGATGTAACAGCAGAGGAAATCATCCAGAAGCTTTAGCATTTCATAGGTATTTAAATATTTTTGTTTGTTTACTTACCGTATAAATAATTAATGGCAACAATTTTTTCCACTGTTGCCATTAGCCTTGTAAATCATAGTTGTTTATATTATTACTACGACTATTATTTTCATTTATAGACTATACAGTCTTAAATACAAACATTGTAAATTTAAAAAATTACAAATATCCAGGTGTTATTCAAGTTTTTCCACAAAGCACATCCTATATAACAAACAAATTGCTAAAATTAAGACAATAAAACATACAAAATAGTGCTAAAGATTAGAAAATGTTTTGTTTCAGATTTCCTTTAAACAATAATGCATTACTAAAATGTTGGGAAAATTATGTTGAAAAAGTTAACGAAAGCAATGAACCATGGCATGCAACCAAGTACAGCCGTATATGCAGCAAACATTTTCAGAGCACAGATTACATCTTGCCTCCATCATCTAATGGCACGAGCAGACTTAAAAAAAATGCTATTCCCTCTTCAGTTCAATATCCTTGTCAAACACCCTCATCAGTAAATGAAGAATTAAACAGAGAGACTAACAAACGCACCGATCCCTTTCCTATGCCATCAGAAAAGAGGCCAAGATATGCTGCCCCAAATGAGGAGAGAGATGGGTTGCATGATAAGTTGCAACAAAAAATTCGTGCCCTGCAACAGAAACTGAGAAGAACCAAGAAGAAAATGGATACAATGCATGAAGTTATTCAATTCCTGGAAGAAACATCAGTAATTAATCCACAAGAATCAGAAGCTCTTCAATCCACCCTTAGTAACACTCAGCTTCAATTTCTGTACAACTTTAAAGATAACTGGAATGCTAAACCATCAGCAAGAAGATACTCAGATGAAATTAAAGAATTTTCTGTAACATTGCACTTCTACTCACCCAGAGCATACAAGTATGTCAGGTCTTTGATTCCTCTGCCTAATCCATCACTAATTAAAAAGTGGACATCCACATTCAAGTGTGAACCCGGATTTATTGACGAGGCATTTGCATCACTATCTCAAAAAGCAACTAAAACACCAGTTGACAAAGATTATTTCCTAATAGTAGACGCAATGTCAATCCGCAAACAAACTATCTGGAACTCTGAAAAAGACTGTTACACAGGATTTGTAGATTTTGGGAAGGACATTCCCAATGACGATGTGGACAAACTAGCAAGTGAAGCACTAGTTTTTCTATTGGTTGGTGCAAGAGGTCCTTGGAAATGCCCAGTAGGATATTTTTTTGTTGACAAAATAAAAGCCAAAACACAAGCCATGCTAATTGAAAAATGTCTGGAAAAGGCCGCTAATGCTGGTTTAAAAGTTTGGTCTACAACAGCCGATGGAACAGCAGCTAATGTAAGCACATTTGAGTTGCTTGGTTGCAAATTTTCTGGCAAATATGAAAACATTAAAAGCTCATTTGTTCATCCAACCATGGGAGAAGTTTTTGCAATACTTGATCCTTGTCACATGATAAAACTAGCTCGGAACGCACTTGCCCATTTACAATCCTTTCAAGATGAAGACGGCAATATCATCAGATGGCAACATATTGAAGAACTTCATAACATCCAAGAACAGGAGGGATTAAATCTTGCAAACAAACTTTCATCGAATCACCTAAAATTCCAGAAACATAAGATGAATGTGAGACTGGCTGCTCAAACATTAAGCAGGTCGGTAGCAGATGCAATCGAGTTCTTGGACAGATCACAAAAGCTATCTACCAACAGCAAAGGCACTGTAAATTTTATTAGAAAGATTGATCAATTATTCGATATGCTCAACTCTCGGAATCCAATAGGGAAAGGTTTTAAAAAGCCACTTAAATTTTGCGATCGTGAAACATGGCAGGCGGACTTTAGATCCATTGCAAAGTATCTTCTGGGTTTAAAAATAAACACAACCAAACAACAATTGCTTTCTGGATCAGGGCGTAAAACATTTGTAATTGGATTTGACTCGTGCATAAAATCGACTATTTCAATGGCTAACCAAATGCTACAACAGACAACAAATCCTTTCAAGTATTTATTAACATACAAATACTCCCAGGATCATGTCGAACTGTTGTTTTCATGCATTAGATCACGTGGAGGTTGGAACAACAACCCAAATTGTCTACAGATGAAATATGCCCTCAGGCAAATGTTAATGCGAAATGCTATTACTGCATCCAAAAATGCCAATTGTGTCGATTTCACAGGTTGCAATAATATCACCCCACTGTTTCACACAAGAAAACACACAGAAAAAAGGCAGAGTCAAGAGCAGGCAAAAAATAACGCAAGTGGTCCAAATGATGATGAAAAGATGGACCTTTTTTGTGATCTCGTGTTTGACAAACACAGCGAATTCATTGACAACGCTTTGTTTTATATTGCGGGATATATCGTATCAAAATTGATGGACAATCTATCTTGCCCAGAATGTAAAAAATGCCTTGTACCTCTTCCTCCAACACAGCCACCAATCCATGGACACGATTATACATCCAGCTTATATCACGATTGCGGGAAAGCATCATCGTTTACAAGATTCGTTAATAGAGGGGGCTTGCAGATTCCATCAACCTCGGTATTCAGGACCGTTCAATACTGTGAACACGTTTTTAGATCAACTGTAAGCGGACAGAATTGTCAAAATATCAGCAACGATTCAAACCTAAAAAAAACAATGATCTTACAAGTGTGTCGATATTTTTCCCTTGATACAACGAAAAAACTATTCAGCGACCACGAAGAGGGATTCAACGAACTTTTACTGGAAGACGACCACAGCACACAATTGATTAAATTTGTGGCTGACAAGTATCTGACTCTTCGACTATTTAATTTGGGAAAGAAATTCACGAAGGACATTGTAAACAAAGGAAAACAAAGTGTTAGAATAGTCTTAACAAACTGATCTTATTCAACAACCAATAGGCTTTTTTGTAAAGAATAATAAAAGCAATTGTTTCAATGTTTCAGTTGTGTACAAAATAAAAACGTACCGTCCATATTCGAGAGGAGGATCCATGTTGAGTATTTCATTTCACCATTCATATTTTCCTGATTTAATATACGCATTTTATGTAAAGCATCGTTTTGACTAAACCAGAACTCAACACAATCACTCTTTGTGTCAAAACGTAGGGTGATCACCGCTTGTTAGAATATAAAAATATAATATTTGAATTTTGAAGCATTTCAAAACCTTATCTTTCCATAAAACCGCATGCCGCCATGCCATCACTATTCGACTGCTTCGACACGTCTCGCACTAAACGCGATTAAATCGCGCGCGTACTACACGATTTGACCTCCAGACACGCGTGTCTGGAGGTCAAATATGGCTTCA